TGCTAGGTCGGCGGGTGCTAGGTCGTCGGGTGCTAGGTCAGCGGGTGCTAGATCGGCGGGTGCTAGGTCGGCGGGTGCTAGGTCGGTGGGTGCTTGGTCGGCGATTGCGAAGTCAGTGGGTGCTAGGTCGGTGGGAGCTAGGTCGGCGGGAGCTAGGTCGGTGGGGGCTAGGTCGGCGGGTGCTAGGTCGGCGGGTGCTAGGTCGGCGGGTGCCAGGTCGGCGGGTGCGAGGTCGGCGGGTGCTAGGTCGGCGGGTGCCAGGTCGGCGGGTGCTAGGTCGGCGGGTGCCAGGTCGGCGGGTGCTAGGTCGGCGGATGCTAGGTCGGCGGGTGCTAGGTCGGCGGCTGCTAGGTCGGCGGGTGCTAGGTCGGCGGGTGCCAGGTCGGCGGGTGCTAGGTCGGCGGGTGCTAGGTCGGCGGGTGCCAGGTCGGCGGGTGCTAGGTCGGTGGGTGCTAGGTCGGCGGATGCTAGATCGGCGGATGCTAGGTCGGCGGGTGCTAGGTCGGCGGGTGCCAGGTCGGCGGGTGCCATGTCGGCGGGTGCCAGGTCGGTGGATGCTAGGTCGGCGGGTGCTAGGTCGGCGGGTGCTAGGTCGGCGGGTGCTAAGACGGTGGGTGCTAGGTCGGCGGGTGCCAGGTCGGCGGGTGCCAGGTCGGCGGGTGCCAGGTCGGCGGGTGCCAGGTCGGCGGGTGCAAGGTCGGCGGGTGCGAGGTCGGCGGGTGTGAGGTCGGCGGCTGCCATGTCGGCGGGTGCCAGGTCGGTGGATGCTAGGTCGTCGGGTGCTAGGTCGGCGGGTGCTAGGTCGTCGGGTGCTAGGTCAGCGGGTGCTAGATCGGCGGGTGCTAGGTCGGCGGGTGCTAGGTCGGTGGGTGCTTGGTCGGCGATTGCGAAGTCAGTGGGTGCTAGGTCGGTGGGAGCTAGGTCGGCGGGAGCTAGGTCGGTGGGGGCTAGGTCGGCGGATGCTAGGTCGGCGGGTGCTAGGTCGGCGGATGCCAGGTCGGCGGGTGCTAGGTCGGCGGGTGCTAGGTCGGCGGGTGCTAGGTGGGCGGGTGCTAGGTGGGTGGGTGCCAGGTCGGCGGATGCTAGGTTGGCGGATGCTAGGTCGGCGGGTGCTAGGTCGGTGGGCGCTAGGTCGGCGGGCGCTAGGTCGGCGGGTGCTAGGTCAGCGGATGCTAGGTCGGCGGGTGCCAGGTCGGCGGGTGCTAAGTCGGTGGGTGCTAGGTCGGTGGGAGCTAGGTCGGCGGGTGCTAGGTCGGCGGGTGCTAGGTCGGCGAGTGCTAGGTCGGCGGATGCCAGGTCGGAGGGTTCCAGGTCGGCGGGTGCCAGGTCGGCGGGTGCTAGGTCGGCGGGTGCTAGGTCGGCGTGTGCCGGGTCGGCGGGTGCTAGGTCGGTGGGTGCCAGGTCGGCGGGAGCTAGGTCGGCGGGAGCTAGGTCGGTGGGGTCTAGGTCGGCGGGTGCTAGGTCGGTGGGTGCTAGGTCGGCGGGTGCCAGGTTGGCGGATGCTAGGTCGGCGGGTGCTAGGTCGGTGGGCGCTAGGTCGGCGGGTGCTAGGTCGGCGGGTGCTAGGTCGGCGGGTGCTAGGTCGGCGGGTGCTAGGTCGGCGGGTGCTAGGTCGGCGGGTGCCAGGTCGGCGGGTGCTAGGTCGGCGGGAGCCAGGTCGTCGGGTGCTAGGTCGGCGGGTGCCATGTCGGCGGGTGCCAGGTCGGTGGATGCCAGGTCGGCGGGTGCTAGGTCGGCGGGTGCTAGGTGGGCGGGTGCTAAGACGGTGGATGCTAGGTCGGCGGGTGCTAGGTCGGCGGGTGCTAGGTCGGCGGGTGCTAGGTCGGCGGGTGCTAAGACGGTGGGTGCTAGGTCGGCGGGTGCCAGGTCGGCGGGTGCCAGGTCGGCGGGTGCTAGGTCGGCGGGTGCTAGATCGGCGGGTGCTAGGTCGGCGGGTGCTATATCGGCGGGTGCTAGGTCGGCGGGTGCTAGGTCGGTGGGTGCTAGGTCAGCGGGTGCTAAGTCGGTGGGTGCTAGGTCGGTGGGAGCTAGGTCGGCGGGAGCTAGGTCGGCGGGTGCGAGGTCGGCGGGTGCCATGTCGGCGGGTGCCAGGTCGGTGGATGCTAGGTCGGCGGGTGCTAGGTCGGCGGGTGCTAGGTCGGCGGGTGCTAGGTCGGCGGGTGCTAAGACGGTGGGTGCTAGGTCGGCGGGTGCCAGGTCGGCGGGTGCCAGGTCGGCGGGTGCCAGGTCGGCGGGTGCTAGGTCGGCGGGTGCTAGGTCGGCGGGTGCTAGGTCAGCGGGTGCTAGATCGGCGGGTGCTAGGTCGGCGGGTGCTAGGTCGGTGGGTGCTAGGTCGGTGGGTGCTAAGTCGGAGGGTGCTAGGTCGGTGGGAGCTAGGTCGGCGGGAGCTAGGTCGGTGGGGGCTAGGTCGGCGGGTGCTAGTTCGGCGGGTGTCAGGTCGGCGGGTGCTAGGTCGGCGGATGCTAGGTCGGCGGGTGCTAGGTCGGCGGGTGCTAGGTTGGCGGCTGCTAGGTCGGCGGGTGCTAGGTCGGCGGGCGCCAGGTCGGCGGGTGCTAGGTCAGCGGGTGCTAGGTCGGCGGCTGCTAGGTCGGCGGCTGCTAGGTCGGCGGGCGCTAGGTCGGCGGGTGCTAGGTCGGCGGGTGCTAGGTCGGCGGGCGCTAGGTCGGCGGGCGCTAGGTCGGCGGATGCTAGGTCGGCGGGTGCTAGGTCGGCGGCTGCTAGGTCGGCGGGTGCTAGGTCGGCGTGTGCCGGGTCGGCGGGTGCTAGGTCGGTGGGTGCCAGGTCGGCGGGAGCTAGGTCGGCGGGAGCTAGGTCGGTGGGGTCTAGGTCGGCGGGTGCTAGGTCGGTGGGTGCTAGGTCGGCGGGTGCCAGGTTGGCGGGTGCTAGGTCGGCGGGTGCTAGGTCGGCGGGTGCTAGTTCGGCGGGTGCCAGGTCGGCGGGTGCTAGTTCGGCGGGTGCCAGGTCGGCGGGTGCTAGGTCGGCGGATGCTAGGTCGGCGGGTGCTAGGTCGGCGGGTGCTAGGTCGGCGGGTGCTAGGTCGGCGGGTGCTAGGTCGGCGGGTGCCAGGTCGGCGGGTGCCAGGTCGGCGGGTGCTAGGTCGGCGGGTGCTAGGTCGGCGGGCGCTAGGTCGGCGGGTGCTAGGTCCGCGGGTGCTAGGTCGGCGGCTGCTAGGTCGGCGGCTGCTAGGTCGGCGGGTGCTAGGTCGGCGGATGCTAGGTCGGCGGGTGCTAGGTCGGCGGGTGCTAGGTTGGCGGCTGCTAGGTCGGCGGGTGCTAGGTCGGCGGGCGCCAGGTCGGCGGGTGCTAGGTCAGCGGGTGCTAGGTCGGCGGCTGCTAGGTCGGCGGCTGCTAGGTCGGCGGGCGCTAGGTCGGCGGGTGCTAGGTCGGCGGGTGCTAGGTCGGCGGGCGCTAGGTCGGCGGGCGCTAGGTCGGCGGATGCTAGGTCGGCGGGTGCTAGGTCGGCGGCTGCTAGGTCGGCGGGTGCTAGGTCGGCGTGTGCCGGGTCGGCGGGTGCTAGGTCGGTGGGTGCCAGGTCGGCGGGAGCTAGGTCGGCGGGAGCTAGGTCGGTGGGGTCTAGGTCGGCGGGTGCTAGGTCGGTGGGTGCTAGGTCGGCGGGTGCCAGGTTGGCGGGTGCTAGGTCGGCGGGTGCTAGGTCGGCGGGTGCTAGTTCGGCGGGTGCCAGGTCGGCGGGTGCTAGTTCGGCGGGTGCCAGGTCGGCGGGTGCTAGGTCGGCGGATGCTAGGTCGGCGGGTGCTAGGTCGGCGGGTGCTAGGTCGGCGGGTGCTAGGTCGGCGGGTGCTAGGTCGGCGGGTGCCAGGTCGGCGGGTGCCAGGTCGGCGGGTGCTAGGTCGGCGGGTGCTAGGTCGGCGGGCGCTAGGTCGGCGGGTGCTAGGTCAGCGGGTGCTAGGTCGGCGGCTGCTAGGTCGGCGGCTGCTAGGTCGGCGGGCGCTAGGTCGGCGGGCGCTAGGTCGGCGGGTGCTAGGTCAGCGGGTGCTAGCCGCGCAGCGCACTTCACACAGGACCCACCACTGCGGCACCAGCTGCCCGGCGGGCAGGGAGGGCAGCAGCGGGAGGCTGGCGGACAGCAGCGCAGCGACCCATGGGACGGCGGGGCGGAAACCCAGAGGCACCAGGGACCAGAAGGCGCGACACAGCAGCGCCAAGTCAGTGCCGTTCGCTGCAGTTGGGGTCGCTGCGGCGGCCGTGCCGGGACGTGCGGGTGCAGATGCGGGTGCTGCTGGCTGCGCACTGGGGCTGGTAGCGGATGGTGCGGAGGCGACCGCAGGAGCATGGGCAGTGGCGGAGGAGAAGCAGGAGGATGGGACGGGCGGGTTGGGGCCTGAGGCGAGGGAAGCGACGGTGTGGGCAGCAGCGCGGCCAGCTGCTCCAGGAGGGCCGTGTCGGGGTCCCGGTCCGGGGGTGCTGAATGGGGTGCTGGGGCTCCCGGGTGCTGCGCACAGCTCGCAAAAGCGCAAAATTGTAAAACACAGTGTTTGGTTGTCGCAACCTTTGGGGAGACGCAATCTTCTCGTGGGATTGCCAGCTTGCTGCGTGTAGTTATGCAGTCAGTTTCTCAGACCAGTGCAGTTCCCGGGAGACCCAATTTGTGACGTGCCCATGTGCTCCGTGCATGGATGGATGGAGTTACAACTACCCTAGGAAGCCATAGATAGACACGTCATATCTTGGTGAAAAAGGGCAGACCGGCTTAGGGGCTGGGAGTGCAGAAAAGGGGTGCGACATCCAGGCTTTCCAAGTCGCTTAACAGGGCTTCTGCAATTTCACTCAATTCCTAGCTCCGCAGCCCCTACACCTCCCTCAGGGTAAAGCCCACTGCATCAGCACCATCCACCCCCCTGCGTCCCCGCCTTACAGTCGCCCGCCTTACAGTCGCCCGCCTAACCCCGCCGCCGGCCCCAACCCGCCGACTCCCAGCCCCAACCCAGCCACTGCTGCCCCCAGCCCCGCACTGCCCCCTCCACTCCCGCCACCCCCGCCTCCTCCCCCTCCTGCTGCTGCCCCCGAACCCCCCGTGAGGTAGGGGTCGGTCGCCGCCGCCTCCACGTCCGGCCGCTGCTCCTGGTGCCAGGCCAGGCAGCGCCGGATAAAGTCCTTGGCCTCCGCACTCACCTGCGAGGGGGGCATGAGTGGGGGGGCCCAAGGGGTTAGAAGCAAGAAGGGACGGGTGACCAGGATAGCGGGGTAGGGCGAGTAGGCGGCAAGACATTGGGCTCGTCACTGTCGTGCCCACTCCCTCCCCTCTCCCTGCACCCCAACCCTCACCGTGGGTCGGGCCGGGAAGTCCACCTCCCGCGGCACCGCCATCACCCGCTCCCGCAGCATCTGCTCCTGGCTCATGGCCTCGCCGTACGGCTTCCTGCCGTACAGCAGCGAGTAGAAGATGACGCCCGCGCTCCACACGTCAAGCTGGGAGGGGGTGGTTCGTGGGGGGATAGGTGGGGGAATGCATGTTGCAGCGGGGAGGTACGTGGGAGGCTGAAGCAGCGCGTGTGTGCTGGGGGATACGCCCCACAGGGCCCATGTACGCTCTCAACCGGTGTAACTGCAGGTGTCCGGATTGCTGCACCTGTCAGCGCATGCGGAGCTAGGACACAGCAGCAGCACCGTGCCCCGTATGCTGACCAACCCGGTCGGGTGTGCGCGATACGAGTACGTGTTCCCACTGGGTGTGCATGCCACACACACAAGCGGCTCCGCATCCCCACCCCCAGCCCCCTGCAGAGCCACCTTATTTGAGATGCGCGGCGGTGCGGGTCCGCCCGTCTGGAAGGCCTCGGGCGGCAAGTACCAGTAGGTGCCGGCACCCTGGCTGGTCAGCTCGATTCCCGCCTGGGTCTCACCCTCCGACACGAGCTGCGGGAGAGAAGCGGGTGGAAGGGGTAGGCGGGAGGGGTAGGGGAGGGCATGCAACGCAGGATGGGATGGAGGGAATGAGGGACATGCATGAGAGGCTGCTCCATACCCTGTGGTGGCGAAAGTGCACTGTCACGCGCTCCTCTCACCCCCCACCTGCCAACAACTACCCTCCCTGCCCCAACCCCTCTCCGCACCTTACTGAGTCCGAAGTCAGTTATCTTGGGCTGCCCCAGGCTGTCGAACAGGATGTTGGCGGGCTTGAGGTCGTAGTGGATGACCCGCCGTGCCGCCAGGTAGCGCAGGCCGGAGAAGATCTGCAGCATCAGGCAGCGGGCCTCGCGCTCGGGCAGGGTCTGCATGGGTGCGAGAGAGGGGGGAGGTGAGGGTGAGAAGCGAGGGTGTGAGTGGGGTTGAGTGACCCATGGGTCCGGGAAGGAGGCGCTGTTGGTATGACTCCTATGACTCCGCCACCTGTGTTCCCTTCCTTACCATGCGCTCCTCCCTTGCGCGCTTTCGCCCCTCTCCCTCCCTCCTTTTGCTCCCCCCCCCTCACCTTGTGTTCCCGCATCAGCCCGTCCAGGTCCCCTCCCTCGCACAGCTCCAGCACTGTGGCGAAGGTGTCGTTGTCGATCTCCAACACATCCAGGAGCGCCACCACGCAGGGGTGACGCAGCCTGGGGCGGGGAGGCAGGGGTGGGGGTAGGTGGTGTGGAGCCACCAGGAGGGGTTGGAGAAGCCGCGCAGGGCCCACTTGGGCGCATGCGGCTCTCACCTCGTCAGAGTGCTGCTGACACCGGCAGCACACGCACACATGCACTGACGTATTCGCAGACCCCTTCCCGCTACAAAGCACACTTTGCTACATTGTAACCCCCCATACCTCCTCTTGCCCTCCCCCACCCTCCCTCTCCCCCTCTTACGTGCGGTGTATGTCGTACTCCCGAATGGCGTGTCGTACGTAGTTCTCCTTCTTCGCCGCCGACCATCCCGGGGTGAGCGCATGGATCTTAACACACACAGGGCGTGCCTCGAACAGGTCGTACGCCTGTGCATCGGGGGTGGGTAGGTGGAGAGGGAGGAAGGGCGGGCGGAGGGGAGGGGGAAGTTGGTGCGATGGGAGCGGTGTGTGGAAGCGGTGGGGAAGGGAGTGTATCGGCAAGATGACCCGGTGGGGGAAACGCCGGTAGGTCGGGCAAGGGTGGGGCTGGAGAGGAGGACGGGCGCGCGTGGGGACCCTGCTCCCCCCTCCTCCCTAGCTGACCCCTCCTGCCGCTCCCATGCCCCCCCCCTCACCTTGAGCACCTCGCTGAAGCCGCCCTTCCCCAGCAGGTTCATCAGGCAGTAGCGCGGCCGGCCCCCGGGCCCCGGGCGGTCCGGCAGCACCGGCCAGCAGGCGAAGCGGGAGGAGTCCTCCTCGCGGGACAGCTTGAGTGCGCGGATCTGGGGAAGAGGAGGGAGGAGGAGGTGGAGGGGAGGAGGAGGTGGAGGGAAGCATGGTTAACCTCCCTAGTCAGCCTTCGAGACACATACGGCCCGTTTCCTAAACACATGCACAACACGCATGCACACCCTTCCTCCTGCCCACCCCCCTCACGCCCACCTGTCTTATCTTCTCCCTGCCCAGCCGCTCCTCCTCCTCCCGCAGCGCCTCATCCTCGCGCTTCAACACGGCCAGCCGGGTCTGCGGGGGGGGGAGGGGGGCAGGGAGGAGGGGAGGAGTGCGGCCGGGCAGGCGGCTAGGGGGCCTGTGTAGGGAGCAGCTGGGGTCATGCACTCCAGAGGCCAAGCTTGAAGCCCCTCCCACCGCCTCTCCCCCGCCCCTGCCCTACCTTGTACACCTCGTCCGCTGCGACGAACTCGGAACCGCTCAGGTAGGGAGTCTCGCCTGCTGCACCTGCTGCACCTGCTGCACCTGCTGCACCTGCTCCCCCAGCGCTCACTGACTCGCCGCCACCAGCTGCCGCCGCCGCCGCCGCCGCCGCCGCTGCCGCCCTAGCTCCCGAGGGCGGAGGCGCCAGGCGCTTCCGCAGTGCCTGCAGGGGGAGGCGAGGAGGGGGCCAGGGGGCGTTGGGGTGGGCTTCACGGGGGCTGCAACCCGCACCAGCCCTCCACCATGCAAACACGACCCCCCCCTCCCTCCCTTCTCCCTCCTCTGCCCCACCTTCTGCGCCGCCACCACCTCCTCCCGCGCCGCTGCCAGCGCCGCCCGCCTGCTGGCCAGCTGCTGGAAGGAGGTGCCGTCCTCCCACACCTGGGGGCAGCGAGGGAGACCCGTGGGTCAGTCACGTCATGACTGCACTACATGCCGACACCTGGAGTCCTCTCGTCTCCTCCCCCCCTCCTCCCGCCCGCCCCTCACCTCCGCCAGCTGCATGGGCCCGGTGCGCACCAGCGACAGCTGCCCCAGGCGGGCCGAGTTGGCGGCCAGCTGCCCCCGAGCCGCCGCGCGCTCCAACCGGGCGCAGTGCTGCAGGGGGGGGGGGTCATGAGGCAGGGGGGGTCATGAGGCGGGGGGGGTCATGAGGCAGGGGGGGGGGTCATGAGGCGGGGGGGGGGGTCATGAGGCGGGGGGGGGGGGTCATGAGGCAGGGGGGGGTCATGAGGCGGGGAGACGGCATGAGGGAGGATAGCGAGACGGCCCTAGATGCTCACGCCCCCTCCCCTTGCACCCCCCCCACCCGCCCCCCACCTGCACCAGCCGTGTGAGCTCCTGGCGGTACCTGGCCTCCCGCTCGCTCGCCACCCGGGCCGCACCAGCTGCCTCGGAGGACCAGCGGGCGGACTCCGCGGCAGCACTGGCCTGGGGGCAGGGCAGGGCGGAGGTGGGGGAGAGGGGCGAGGGAGGTCATGGAATACCTTTACGCACCAGGGAGAGGGGAGAGTGGCACATTAGGGAGAGAGGGGAGAGGGGCGCAAAGGGATAGACGCATGGGGCCCCCCGCACACATACACAGCAAGCACACCCAGCACACAGGCAGCCCCACCCGCAGCGACTCCAGAGCCGCCCGGGCTGCCGCCTCAGCCGCTGCAGCCGCCCGCAGCGCCTCCTCCTGAGACCTGGAGGTAGTGGGAAAGCGAAGGAGGGGGGGGTGAGAAGCGGCGGCAATGTGGGCGGCAGGTGCAGCGCCAACACGGGGCGGCGGGGCTCAGCACCAGCACCAGCAGCACCACCGGTCCTATCCATTACCCCTCCTGGACCCCGCTCCCCCTGATCTCCTGCCCGGGGCCACCTGCACCGCTCCCGCAGCGCCTCCGCCTCCGCAGCAGCAGCCTGGTGGAGCGAGGGGCGGGAGGGGCGGGAGGGGCGGCACATGGCATCAGCAACAGCAGCATGGGTTACGGTAGCAACGACAGGAGCGGCAATACGCCCCACATTATCTCTCCCTGCGCGCCCGTCGCCGTCGCCTCCACCCCCCTTCCTCACCTCCGCCGCCTGCCTCAGCCGCTCCATCTCCGCCCCCGCTGCCGCCTGCTGGGCAGCCATGGCGGCCTGCACCTGCGTCACCTGGGCCTGAGGGGCGGGAGGGGGAGGAGGAGGACTGACGGTGAGGGTCCTGCACCCTCCTTCCACGCGGGTGGAAGGCGAGGAGATGCGGGTGTGAGGGAAACTGACAGCGTGGAACGCTGCGTTCCAAGTACCCGGTATGTCGGGGTGGGCCAGACGAGTGACAACGCACCCTCCCTCTCCTCCTTCTTCCCACCACCGCACTCCTCCGCACCTGCAGCTGAGACACCTGCTGCCGCTGCAGCACCAGGGATGGCGGCGGGCCGTCCCTGGAGTTCTGGTCAGGTGCACCGGCCAGCAGCGCCGGCGCCGGCAGTCCCCCGGCAGGACAGTTGTTGGGCACCGCTGCCGTACCATGCCCGCCGCCGCCGCAGCTGCTAGTTTGACCCAGGACGGGTGCAAAATAGCTCAGGATGCTGCGTTTCTGGGCCGAGGGAGGGGCCGAGGGAGCTGCGTTGCCGCCGCCGGCATTGCTGCGGCTGCCGCCGACGCTGTTGCTCCGACCACCGCCGCCAGCGGCATGTACCGCTGCCGCCTCTTCAAAGAGCTGTCGTACAGCGCCTCCGCCGCCGCCAGCGGGTGTCGTCGCCGCCGCCGTCTGCGTGTTGACGGCGCCTCCGCCAGCGGCACCGGGGTCAGCTACATCTGGGGGCAGGGCGAGATCCGCATGTGGGGTTGGGGCACAGGGCTGGGGCGCAGGTACTGGAAAGGATGCATAGCGACGCTAGAAGGAGCAACATGGCAAAGGAACCACAGCGACAAGAAGGAGCCCCAGCTCTCACATCGGCAACAGCCAAGGTCGCAACTGCGCCCCAAGGCCGCAACCGGGACCACCCTCACCTCACCTGCCACTTCGCGACCCTCAGCGATCGGCGTCATGACTCCACCACCGCCTGCCGCGGCTGTACCGCCTCCGCCTTTGCCCCCGGCGCCCCGCGGCTCGTGTCGGGGCTCCCGCTGCTTGCGCTTGCGGGACCTGCTGCCGCCCCCACCGCCCCCACCGCCGCCACCAGCTCCCGCAGGAGCCGCACCCGCTGCCGCAAGTTGCTGTTGTGACTCAGCGGCAGTTACCCCCTGTTGCTGCTGCTGCTGGTTTTGGTGTGAAGCGCCGGCGGCAGCGGCGACAACTGCTCGCGTGGCGGCCACCGCGGCCGCTGTCAGCGGTGTCGGCGGCGGCGGAGTCGCTGCTGCGAGGGCCGCCAGCGGCGGAGACGGAAGCAACCCAGCATGCGGCTGCTGACCCGCCGCATCGGCAGCGCCTGATCGCAGCGCCTGCCGGGCCCCATGCAAGCCGCTCGGGGTAATGTCCGAGAGGGGAGTACGGCAAGCGGCAGAGGACGCCGTTGCTACAGCCATGAAAGCAGCAGCGGCCCCGCTGCCGTCGCCGACGCTGATGGCTCCGGGTCCACCGGTGAGGTCTGCTTCCTGTGCGGGGGGCCCTGCTGCCGCAACAGGAGTAGCGCTGCCAGCGCCTCCTCCAATGCTGAAGACAACAGGGCCGCCAGGGCTGCGGTTATCCGCTGGAGACCCGCCTGTTCGACGGTGCTTAAAAGCAGGGTCACCCGCAGCCGCTGCAGGGTAAGTTGAGGACGCCAGCGGTGCTGAGGCTGGCGGTCCAGGGAGGGGAAAGGCGGCTGCTTGCGGCTTGCTGGCTGTGGCGGTGTTTGACGCAACATGGCCGGTTGCAGCGTCTAGGGAAGCAGTTCCTAGAAGCTGACGATCACTGGGGCTACCCTGACGAGCTAGCCCAAGAGAGTTGGCGAGCTGCTGCGGAAGCTGCTGGAAAATGGAGGAGCTTGCTAGCGGAGCAACATTGCCGCTGCCGGATGCGCCCAAACTAGGGTCCTGGCCGGCCATCCGCCTTTCAAGGGCCAGAATTTTTGCTTCATTGCTACTAATGTTCAACACAAGTGGGCTGAGGCCTGGCGTCGTGGATGTTGAGCGCTCCGTGGTGGCCATCCTATTTGGGCGCTCGAATTACCAAGCGCCCTTGGTTGTCACCGAAGGCCTGGTAACTACTTAATGCTCAGAGCATCCGGTCATACAAAGCGATGCGGTAACTTCAAATACGCCTAGAGTACACTCATATTAATTTGCTGTTTGGAGTAGGGTGCCACCCTCCCTGTATTTATAGAATAAAATTGACCAGAGCGTTGAGGAGGACAGCGCTATGTTGATTTGTGAAGGCTATTACGGTTTGGATGCGCGACAGCCATGAAAGCGTCTGCAAGGGATTTACTTGTAGTAATCCACTGACGATGGGCTTCTGTAACATTACTATTGAGGGCATTGCAGGCCTGCAGCTGAGCGTTTGCTTTGCACTCCTGGTCTCGGAGACACAGCATGACATGCATCGCAGCCTGCCCTGGCCCCCGCGCGCCAGCCATCGTGCGCTTCCTCTACTATGGAGTTGTTGAAGCAGTAGCGTTATACAGTTCTCTATCCATTTTTGTGGCAGCGTAGTAGCAGAACTAGGCCTACAGAACTCATGTACAGAACTCGTGTACGTGTCGTTGCACCAGTGCTACAACCCCGCCTGTTTGCACGCTAGTCTCTACCCGATCCTGAACAAGTTGTTCTCCCACACGCTTTTAACCCATACAACCCTATCGGGCAAGGTCACATCTCCATAAGAGGCCGAACCGTGCAAGAGACCGGACCCCTGGAGCCCCTGGGTTCCGCACATGTGTGCGCATCCTTAACTCTGCCCCACAACCTGGGGCCTTCACGTGCCTGCTGCGCCATCAATAAGCTGGTATGAAGAGCTGCTGCCTGCTGCCTAGCACTGCCGCGTTGGCGGAAGGAGGTGACATGGGGAGAGGTGGATAGGATGCCTCACGGTTGCACCCCTAGCACTTCGCGTCATGCATGTCCTGGCACGACCCCGGTGCTAAAGGACAGGCGCACGGTCGAACTCCCACGGTGACAGTGATCCGGACGACCTAAATTCGCGTGGACGCGCTAACATCGTGCGCTGAAGCGTTACACCAACCACGCGCAACACCCAAGACACGTCGCTGAATCTCACAGCAGAGTGCGCTCCACGTCATGTAAGTATATGCCATGTAAACTGTTTTCTGCACGAACTAGTCGCTCGGTCAAGGTGTCCCGATTCGCATTTCAATTGCAGCTGCTACGACCTTTACAACAGCTTAATATGATTGGCTGCGAACAGCAACTTAACAGTCTTCAGCCTTGTAAACAATGGCAGCCCAAACTAGCCTGGCCAGGTTTCCATCAATACGCATACTGTCCATAAGCAGTGTCTCATACAATGCGAGCTTTGTGCTGAAGGAAGAAGGGTCTGAAGGGGATCAGTAACTGTAGGTTTGCCGTACATGTTCAGGATAATGGACGCCGTTCGGCTATCCCTCGCCCGCACACCTGACCACCCAGCGACTGCCTTCATCAGACTTAAATCACAACAATGGCTTCGCTGCTTACTCGTCCTCAGCAGGCGTTCGGTGCTCGCTCGGCTGTGAAGCCAGCCGCGCGGCCCCTGCGTCTAGTAGTCCGCGCCCAGGCCAGCAAGCCCTCGCAGCCGCTCGCCCAGCTCGCCAAGCCAGCGCTTACTGCCTTTGTTGCTAATGCGCTGATGGCGATGCCCGCCGCCGCTGAGGCTGGCAAGATTTTCGACTTCAACGCCACGCTGCCAGTCATGGCTGGCGAGTTCCTGCTCCTGATGGTGTTCCTGGAGAAGACCTGGTTCACGCCTGTTGGGAAGGTTCTTGATGAGCGTGATAACCAGATCCGCTCTAAGCTGGGCTCGGTGAAGGACAACACGGGCGATGTGGAGAAGCTGGTCATGGAGGCGGAGTCTATCCTGAAGTCAGCTCGCGGCGAGGTCAGCAGCATGATTAACTCCAAGAAGAACGCTAAGCAGGCTGAGCTTGATAAGGCATACAATGAGGCGAAGGCGAAGATCACCGCGGAGGTTGAGTCCGCGATCGCTGGCCTGGAGAAGGAATCAGCTGGCATGCTGAAGACCCTGGACGCCCAGGTGGATAAGATCAGCGCAGAGGTGCTGAAGCGCGTTCTCCCTGAGGGTGTGAAGGTGTAAATTGGGCCCGCTTGGGTAGCAGCGTAGCTTGCCTCCATGTGACCTGTGGATTGCACGTCGGGTTGTGCCGGCGCGCCTCCTCGTGCAAGCATCCGCGCACATCCAATGGGACAGTTTTATGCGGACTATGGTGGAGAGAACTCGCCGTGGTGGAGCGCTGGGGGGGACGTGAATTGCTGGGATGTTTGCATCCAGATGGGGTGTACTGGACGAAGCTGCAACTGTGGTCCTCCTTTGCGTCTTTGGCATCCGCAGCCATGTAGACGTTGATTACATTGTACAGAGCTGCACTGACGAGACATTTTGTTGTTAATCGAGTGCTGCCGGCGGGGCAGTTTTCTTGGATGCCCATCTGTCGCCGGGTGGTGTATCGGGAGCGCCCCTCGCGAGCCGCTAGACAGAGAGAGAGGTGTGGAGGGGTGGGCGCCGCGTGTCACCTGGGTTGTGCTTTTGGGGCTTACCTTTAGGTTGAGGCAGGTGATTTCCCGGGAGGAAGAAACAGGCATGAGGAGAAGAAACAGCATTAACAAGAAAGCGCCTTTTCGCCACGTGATGATGGTCGACTAATGGTGCCGTACCCTAATGGTCTTCTGTACGGCAGTGGCATGTGTTAAGTAAGCGTTGGAGCAGGCCATGCGGCTGCTGGTTAGGCACCTGGGCACACCGCTTGCTTGTCCCAATACTACGTGCCTGTAAAGTATCTAAGCAAGGATTGTGCTGCTTTCTGTTCCGCCGGTTGCATGGTACGATGTGCGTGGTGATGGGAGGAGCGGTCGAAGTGCCGCAAGAACGGGGCGACCTTTGCACCTCGTCTCTCTCTACCTTCCACATGGGGTCTGTCAACCATGCAATCACACCTTTCACATCCGCCCCGCTGCAGCAGCTGCTCCCGTTCACATCAGCGCCCCCAAAGACCCACGCAGCCCGGCAGCCCACCCTCCCGTCAGTGCCCATCCACTTAGGCGCACTCGCGACAGCAGCCTCAGTCAGTGAGCGCAGGGGCAGGTCCGCGAGGTTAGCAACCACAGCTTCCGTTGCACAAAACGACCCACGGGACATCAGACCACCACAGCCTATCAGGTCACGATGGGCACTTAATCCACCACAACGCCTTACAAACCGTACAGCCAGGCCAAAGCCACATCTGCATACCCATTGTACGACCCCTTCCGCATGGCGGCGTCACGCACGCTCCTCGAGACTCCCTAGCACGGACATCACGGCTCCGCACGCTGCTGCACCTGCGCAGCGACACCCCTCTCCATGCCTAGTTCCAATAGATACACACGGCCGCCCGCGCGGACCCAGTTGCCAGCTTCACGAGAGCCCGGAACCCATTGCCTTCCCCAAGCAACAACGGCAGCAGCAGCAGCAAGCCCCACACAACCCCCACGCAGCTGCCTGCTCCCCGGTCCCCTTCCCACTCCTCCTCACTCTGCGCCCCTCGTCGCTCCACCCCTTCGCTCTGCACCTTCTTCCCGCCTCACCACGCCCCTGCCAAAGCCCTTCCCCCCTCACAGCCGCGTGGGTATGCCCTGCTCCGCCAGGTGCTGCTTCACCTCCGCAATGCCCACCTCCCGCCGGTGGAAGATGCCGGCAGCCAGCGCCGCCGCCGCGCCCGTGCGCTGGAAGACCTGCGAGAAGTGCGCCGGCGCGCCCGCCCCCGAGGACGCGATGACGGGGATGGTGACGGCGCGCGACACCGCGTCCACCAGCTCCAGGTCGAAACCCTGAGAGGGGGGCGGGGGGGAGGGGGATTAAGAAGAAAGAACTAACTGACTGAGGAGGGGGAGGGGTAGGTGCATGGGTTGTGTCGCAGGGGAAGAGAGCGCATCCTGCGCATGCACCACAGACATCGCCGTCACCCTCGGCCCCCTCCAAACCGTTCCTTACACCATACTCAGCATGGTCTCTACCCCCCCCCCACGCCTCCTCTCTCCCACCCCCCACCTGCCCCACTCCGTCGTTGTCAATGCAGTTGAGCAGGATCTCGCCCGCCCCCAGCGCCTCCACCGCCCGAGCCAGCTCCACCGCACCCAGCTCGCGACCCTCACGACCGCCCTGGGTGCGGACGGGAGGGGGGGTAGGGGCAATGTGTGTTTGGGAGGCTGCTCGGCACGTTGGGGGGAGGATGCAGGCAGGTGGTTGGGACCATGCGAACGCCGCAGTGCCACGACAGGATGGAGGGGCTCCCGGCTGGTCCCTCATTACTCCCTTACCCCGCAAAGCTGCCACCAACCTCCCCCCCCCCAACCTGCATGCATGCAAGGCCCCTCCCCGCCTCCCCCCCCTCCCCTCGGGATTCGGGATTGGGATTGTGTTGTTGCACTTATTTATAATTTCCCCCCCTCCCCGCCTCCTCCCCACCTTAACGGTGCACTGCCACCAGCAGTACTGCTCGCCGTTGGGTCCGGGCCGGGCGGTGTGCACGGTGGCGTGCGGGGTGGCGGCGGGGGAGGACACGTACACGCGACGGGGGTCGATGGAGATCACCACAGCCTGGGGGAGGGGCCGGGGCGGGGCAAAATTAATGATAAGTGCAGCAACGAGTCCCAATCCCATATCCCGACTCATGCAGTGAGCGCATTCGGAGACTCTATCCAAGAAAACACGCAACTCAGAGGCGGGGCGGGGCGGGGGAGCGGGCAGGCGGCTGGCTGGGTGAGGGGGAGGCGGGAGAGGAGGCGGGACTGGCAGCGGGGACGAGGAGAACAGGAGGCGTTTCCTTCCCCGGGTTCCTGAGGCGGCCTCAGATGCGGAGGAGAGTCCCTGCCTCCCTTCCCTTTCGCGCCCCCGCTCCCTCCCCTCACCTGCTTGCCGTACACCTCGCTGATCTGCTCGATTGCCGTACTGCCGTCCGGCACACCGCCGCGAGCGTAGTACGCCTGGGGGAGCAGGGCGGGTGTTGATTTGAACGGTTGGGCGGTTGGTTGGTCACTGCGAGGGCGAGCACTCCATGCGCCGCCTCGGCGGTGTGGGGCGGCTCGTCCGATCGCCCCCTACCCTGCGACCCCATGGATGCACGACACCCCCTTCCCCTCCCCCACCCCCCCCCACCACCTGCGCCGCGTCCACCGCATCACTGCCAATGGACACCTTGTCCGCACCCGACCTGCGCGCGGACGGGGGGGAAGGAGAAACGGGTGATGGCGGTGGGGGGGCAGAACGTCACACAGCACGGCGACGCACCCCACCTGAAGTCCCGTACCGTGCCCTCCCGCCCCATCCTCGCCTCGCCTCCCGCTCCCTCCCCGCCCTTCTTGTCCCTCCCTGCCCGGCTCCTCCTCCCCTCGTGCCACCCCTCGCCCCCACCTGAAGTACTCGGCCGCCACGTCCACCGCGGAGAAGGAGCGCCCGCTGGCGTCCTGGAGCGCCTTGATGCCGCCGCCGACCTGGACAGCAGAGGGAGGGGCAATGGGGACGGGAGACACGTCAGCAGTGACACGCGATACCCCTGCGCCCCACCTCCACCTTGCCAACCCCGGCCACCCCATGACAACACCCCAGCACAGCTGGCCTCTCCACCTCCCCCCCCCACGCACTCCTCACCGTGAGCGGCACGAAGACCCGCTCCGAGGCCCTCCGCAGCACCTCCAGCATGGGCTGGTCGGACAGCACACAGTCCCTGCGGGGGGGGGGGCGGGAGAGGGAGGGGGAGGGGAGACGGGCAGGCAGGATAGGGCGGCGGTGGCGCTGGTGGGGTTGGTGTTGCAGCGCAGGCAGGAGCAGCGCCGTGCCGTGCCGGGGCCCCAGAAGCGCCGCGAGCGCCAGCGCTACCACCATCACACCCGGGTTACGTGTCCCTCAGTCAGCTAGTTGCTACTCTTTACCCCGGGATACATGTCCTCACACAGGCGCCAAACTCCCCCCCCACCCCCCCCACCTGAACCCCGTGATGTTCAGGAAGGCCACCTCGTCCGCCCCCTCCTCGAAGTAGCGCGCAGCCAGGTCCACCGGCTTGCCCAGGTTGCGCACGTCGCGCTCGCCCGCCTTCTCGCGCACGTCGTACTGGTCGCCCTTGGTGACCACCAGGTCCCCCTGGTCGTTGGAGCGCACGTCCAGGCAGGCGATCACACGCTTGGCCAGACCCCGGGGGCCCGACACGGAGGGGGGGGCGGGGGAGGAGCCGCAGCAGGAGCTGCTGCTGCTGCTGCTGCCCGCTGCCGCTGCTGCTGCTGCCGCACGGGTTTTGCGGGCCTCCTCAGGCTGCAGGAAACCTGCTCGGGGCCGCGGAGTGGTGGGGCGGGCGGTGCATGGCAGTGAGTCGCGTCGCCTTGCTCCTGCTTCAGGTGCCTCCCTGCATCTCCACCCCCCCTCCCAGTCCCCATCCAACCCACTCTCCTGCCCCCCCCACCAGTCCCCCTGCCAGCCCGCCCCCGCACCCGCCAGAATGTCTAGCCCGGTGGCGCCGCTCTTCTCGGGGTGGAACTGCACGGCGGACACCGACCCGCGGTTCACCGCCGCCACGAACTCCCCGCCGTACTGCGTGGTGGCCAGCACCCACTCGGAGTTGGCGGGGGAGGGAGTGGCCCTGGGGGGGGGAGAGGAGGGGCAGGGGCCATGTGGGTCGGGCTAGGGCAGGGAGAGAACGGGGGCCAAGTGGATTGTTCACGTTCCTTTTCGCGATTTGGGTCAGGATAGATTGCGGCTAGAAAGGGCGCCAAACGGATTCACAACATGCTATCAACCTCCAAGCATCCTTTCCCAGGCCTCAACCAACCCGACCCATTTCACAAGGCCTCACACCCCTCCCTCCCTCCCTCCGTTCCTCCCCCTCCTCCCGCTCCGCCCCCGCACCTGTATGAGTGCACGTAGTACACTCGGCGGTCGCCCACTCCGTCCAGCAGGTCCGACCCGCGGGTCGGTGCGATGTTGTTCCAGCCGATGTGCGGCACCGGCAGCCCCAGGCTGGTGTCGAACTGGGTCACCGCCCCCGGGATGAGCGCCAGGCCCTCGCAGCCGCCGCTCTCCTCGCTGCCCTCGAACAGCAGCTGCAGGCCCAGACAGATGCCCAGGAAGGGCCGACCCGACTGTACGGCAGGAGGGGGGGAGGAGGGGAAAGGGCGGTGAGGAGGGTGGAGCGGGAGGAGGGGAAGCGGGTGGTGGGGCTGACGTGCGGGTTGATTTGGGTCGGCGAGGAGGGATGCGAGGTGGGGTTTACACCTCGCCCCATGGCATGGCGTGAAAGGATGGCCGCAGCCTGCGTGGCGCCCTCCCTTGCACGCATGCCAGCATGCAGGCACGGCAGCTGGCGCCCGCCCCTGCACGCTCACGTGCCATCTCCCAACGCGGCCCTTGGCAAGATCTCTGTCTCGCATCAAGATCAACCACTTCTACCCAATTGTTCCCCCCACTGGCCCCAGCCAGCCCCCCTCACAGCACCCCACCCCTACCCAGCCAGCCGGTCAGCCCTCAGGCCCCCAACCTCCCTGCCGCACCTGGATGTAGTCCTTGAGCGGCCCGACGAGCTTCTTCTGCTCCAGGATGCGCATGGCCTGACCGAAGCTGCCCACACCCGGGAACACCAGGCGAGAGGCGGAATCCAGGTCGGCGGGCGTCTCGACCTGCGGAGCGGAGGAGCGGGAGGAAGGGAGCAGCAAGGGTGGGGGAAAGAGGTGGTGCCGGCTGGGGCTGAGGAAAGTCGTTGATGTGAAGGGCGGAGGGATAGGGCGACGGGAATCTAAGGCATGGGGACGGGCAGACAGCGATGTGGTGCAGAAGAAGGACACCCTTTCGCGTATGCTGCCAGGCTGAAAGGATGATGTGGTCCGCGACGACATGGTGACTGAAACTGTAAGCAGGAACCGTGCCCCAATGTAGTATTCTATATACGTGAGGTGCATATGTGAGGTGACTTCTAATACTGCAGCTTCCATATAGAAAGCAGCGCTGCAAGCGGGCTGTCGGCCCAAGCCAAAAAGAAGCAAACACCCTAATTCATGACCGCATGTGGTTCCCTCATAATGTACAGCGTTCGATAACGGGGTCCTCGTCCTTACATCGCGGATTGTGTATCCAAGCTTCTTGATGGCATTGCGCACGCTCCGCACGTTACCAGCTCCATAATCTAAAAGCGTAACCTCTTTCACAGAGCTAGGTGAACTACTAGCAGCGCACTTCACCGAGCAACGGCGCACTTGCGTGGGCAACCTACGGGAGGCCGAGGTAGATGCCTCGGCCGCCGCCGTCTGACGGCTAGACAACGTATTCATCTTAGTAGTATATTGCCATACAAACCAATTGCAGTAAGACGACGAGGTTTCACTGCACTACGCGCTCTTGCATGGGAAAGGGGTTAGAATGCCGTGAAACCCCACTTCATAATTCCCTAGGCCAGCCCAAGATAAGTAACACTTCCCAAACATCATGCAAAAGACCAAAACACACTGCTGCTGCCACGAGCAAACTTGCATTCTCCGAACAACATCCCTCCAAGTATTTAGCAACAAGACGTAACTGGCTTTTAGGACATCGTTTCAAAACAACATATATATGACTGTTTTCTGATCTACACTATGGGGTGTTGTTTCTTTGGTGGCAACGATTAACGACCGGCTTCATTGGGGCGGATTGAGAAGTCGCGGATGCTGCATCAGTAACATCTTGGAGTCGAAGCACTCCTTTGCGAGGGGTAGCGGCTACAATGAACTTCCCATCCAGCGGCCAGTCGGCCGCATCGGCCAGCGGCTATGCGCCTGTCACATACCAGGTAGGAGTACATGCAGTGCAGGACTGAGTCCTTCAAATATGCACAGGCGCTGCTTATGCCCTTCATCCTGGGCCGCACTCCCCCTTCACCACTCCTTTGACGCTCCCTCCCTCCCTCCCTCTAGCGCCTAATGCGTCTGGCTGCTCGCGCCTTCTACAGCGGCCCCTGCCCGCCGCCGGGTCGCGACACCGACGCGGCGTTCAGCGCCCGGTCCAAGCTGGCCAAGGTGGGGCCGTACGCCTAGCGGGGTGGGGCCGCACGCCTAGCGGGGCGGGGCCGTACGCCTAGCAGGGCGGCAGGCGGCGCAGGGGGCTCAGGGCGGAGGGAAGCAGGGACGGCTGCTCGGGGGCCCTGGGGCCCTGCTGTCTCCGGGACCAGGCCGGTCACCGGTGGTGGGCCCTGGCCCCCGATCACGCACGCATGCTCGCCTGCACAGCTGCATGCGGCGGCAGGGCTGTGCTGGTCTGGACACAGCTGCGCACGGGCCCCACCTCCTCCCCCTCCCCCTCCGCCCCTCGCAGGTGGACACCCGCGGTCTGGGCATCGTGTTGGTGGACTACCTGAGCACCGTGGAGTGGACCTCCTTCGAGCTGCTGACGGAGGCGCTGCGGCTGCACCCCGTGGTGCTCAGCAGGGCGCTGCGGTTCCTGGAGGCGGTGAGGGGGGGGAGCGGGGGGGAGCGGGTTGCTGCCCCTGCGGAAGGCGGCTGCAGGGGGAGGGGCGAGGGCACAGAGGGATGAGGGCTGCACACGGGGTAAAGGGAAGGAGGTATCTGCATTTTCCCGAAGTCTGAGGGCGCCATGTGGGGGATCCTGGCCTCAGCCGGACCCTGCCTCCACCTCCACCTCCGCCTGACCGCAACCCCGGCCCCCGCCCTTCCCGCGCCCCGCCCGCCAGGGTCACATGGTTCGGCGCTACGAGCGGCGGGAGAGCCGTCGGAAGAAGCGCACAGTGGTGGGGGATGCGCTGGAGGTGCGTGTGGGGGGGGGCGGGGGGGAGGGGGAGGTTGGGGCGGGGTGGACTGGGCGCGTGGGGTCGCTGGTCGGGTGCATGTGGCCTGTGCTGGGTGTGGCCTACCTGCCCTGTGCCTTGGGAGCTGCCAGGAGCGCTGCTGCCCCTGTCCCTGCCGCCCTGCACCGCCGCCGCCCCACCTCGCCCCCCCGCCCCCTGCACCCGCCTCCAGGCTGAGATGGCTCAGGGGCCGGAGTCCGAGGAGGAGGAGGAGGACGAGGAGGGGGGAGCCAAGAAGAAGTGAGCAGCGGGCGGGGGGGCGGCATGTGCAGGGGTGAGCTAGCTGTCAGTGGCGGCGGCCTAGCGCACGTCCTTCCATGCCCCAACAACTTCAACTCCCGCTACAAGGGTGCTGCGAGTGAGAGGGCACGTGCCGGGTCCGCTCCTTCCCCCGGATTTCCCCCCACTCCCGCCCCACTCCCTCGCCCCAGGGGACTGCTCACCGAATACTTCACACTGGACTACGCGCGCGCCTTTGACGCGCTGCAGGTGGGGGGGGGGAGGGGCGGGTGGGAGGATTAGGTAAACTGAGCCGCGGAAATGCTGACCCTGACCGTGGGGGAGAGTGCGCGGCGTGCAGGTGTTGGGTGGCGAGGTGCATGCGGAACCGACGTTGCGGAGGAGGGGGGAGCGAGGCGCCCTCGGACTGCTGCTTCCTGCTGCAACATGGTGCAGGGACCGCCTGTGCAGCCCACCCTGCGTCCGCTCCGCCCGCTATCCCTCCCTCAGCCCTGTCGACCTTCGGGCTCGGCAGCGTTACGCCCCCCCCCCCGCCTCCCCGCCTGCCCGCCCGACCAGGTCCGCATCCACACCATGCGCGCCTCCCTGCGGGAGCAGCTGGAGGCCACCAACGCAATACAGGTGCGGCGGGCGGGGGGCTGGGCGGGCGTGAAGGAGAGGAGGGGCGCGCGCAGGCTCGAGGGGGGTGGGGCGCTTACCGGTGCACCCGCCTTTCTGGGTAGTGGAAGCAACCATGCACGCACCCGGCTCCGCTCCCAAGACTCCATGCCCTCCCGCTTCCTCACCTCCTCTCCTCCCTCTTCCTCTCCTCCCTCTCTTCCTCACCTCCTCACCTCCTCTCCTTCCCGCCCCCTCCCCCGCCAGTCCTACCGCTGCCCGGGCGCCTTCTGCGGCAAGACCTACACCTCCCTGGACGCGGCCAACCTGGTGGACCCCTCCGACCTCACATTCAAGTAGGGGGACAGGGGGCAGGGGGGGCTGACGGGGGGGCTGCGGGGTGCATATTGCGGTTGGGAGGGAAGGAAAGGAGGGAGGGAGGGAGAGAAGGGTGCTGCGCAGCGTGACGTGAGGTCGCACAGCGGTTCAGGACGTCTTGCAGCCCAGCATGTGACCGGATGGGCGGTCTGGGACAGGCAGACATGTTTTACCCACCTCCCGCCCTCCTCCCCCCCACCCCCTCATTTCCCTGCAGGTGTGAGATGTGCGGCAGCGAGCTGGTGGAGCAGCGGGCCACCAACGACGCGGCGGCGGGGGGCGACGCGGCGGCGCAGCACACCACCGCCAAGGAGAGCAAGGAGGTACGACGCGGGAGGAGGAGCGGCAGGAGGGAGAGCTTGGGGCGATTGTTGCGTTGTACACACCTGCCTGCATGTTTGCACACTTCGCAGTTGTCTATCCAGCACTTCCTGCAACCGCCTTGCCCCTCCTCAACTGGTGTTCTCCCCCTCCTCCCTCCTCTCCCCCCCTTCCCCCTCCCCCCTCCGCCTCCAGGCCGCCCGGCGGCTGCTGCAGGCCATCGACCGCGAGCTGGCGCCCCTCACCCGCCTCATGGCCGAGCTGCAGCACCGCGGGGTGCCGCTGCCAGACCCGGGGGAGCTCTTCGAGTGGGCGCAGCGCGTGCGGCAACGGGATGCGGAGATGGCGGCGGCGGCAGCGGCCTCCGCAGGCGGGGGCGGCCATGGTGGGGGAGGCGGCGGCGGCCGCGGCGGCGGTGGGGGAGGCGGTGGCGGTGGCGGTGGTGGGGGTTCCGCTGCGCTGCTTGCCGACAGCGGCGTGACTGTGTTGTCGGCGGCTGACAACACCAACACGTGGGAGGCGCAGGACTTCAAGGTGTCACTGGGTGGAGGGGCAGGAGGGGCAGCAGCGGCGGGGGGCGCGGGCGGCAAGAAGGCGCCGGCGGTGCTGCCCTGGTTCATGAAGGCCACGGACAGCAAGGTGAGGAGGGGGTGTGTGTGTGTGGGTTGCATCATGGTAGCCGACCCAGATGGAGGGAGGGGCCCAGGGGTAGGGGACTACTCCTTACAACGCGCGTGCTCCCCGCCGCCCCGCTGCGCCCCGCAGTCCGCCCCGGGGGCCGCTGGCGAGGACGCCGCCTCCGCCGCAGCAGCTGACGGCGGTCAGGACCGGGGCAAGCAGCAGCAGCAGGCCGAGTACTTCAAGGACTTCATGTCGTACATGACCCGGCTGCAGGAGGAGAAGAAGGTGCTCCCCGGCACGGCAGCTGCCGCTAGCGCCGACCACAAGCTCAACAAGGCCGAGGTCGCCGCAGCGCCTCTGTCAGCAGCAGCAGCAGCAGCGGCCCCCGTTAGGGTCAAGCCTGAACCCGGGCTGGCGGCGCCAGGGCCCCTGTACGGCAGTACGGCAGCCGTCAAGCCGGAGCCGACCCAGATGCCGTACACCGCGCCAGCAGCAGTGGCGGCCGCCGGGGGCCTCCTGGCGCCGGTTGCTGTCGCTGGCGTTAGCGGCGGGGGTGCAGGCGATGTGGAGTGGGAGGATGTGGGAGGCGGAGGTGGTGGGTTGTCCCCGGGCGCCCCGCTGCCCGGCTTGGCGGCTCCCGGAGGGCAGTCGCCGCCACTCGTTGGCTTGAAGCCAGGTGATGAGCTGCAAGGGCACTGTCCTTTCTACTCCCGCTCCTTCCCTTCCTCCATTATTCCTCCCAGCTCTCCGGCTGTCGCTCCTGGTCCCTGTCCCCTCACAATACGGTAGCAGCGCTCAGGGTGTTGCCGAGACCTGCGTTCTCCCTCCAACCCTTCCCCTTCCCGCTGTTTTCCTCTCCCCCACCTCTCCCATTGCAGAGCCCGAGCCGTTCCTCGGCGGCGGCTTTGGCGGAGCGGTGGCCCCCGCTGCCGCTACTGCCGGGAGCGGGGCAGTGGATGATGCGGATGTGGAGTGGGAGGACGTGTGAGGCGGCGTCACATCCCGTGCTGGTGCTTGTCACAAGCTTGCAGGCCAACACGAGGCCTCGACCAAGACTGGCGGCAGTCGTACCACGGTGATAGGGCAGTAGCTCGAGGCCGCAGAGCTTTGGCTGGTTGTAGGTTGCGTTGGCTGCACTGCACTGCCCTCCGCACGCGAGCGAGGGGACATGCAGGAGGCAATGCGGAGTTGCGCTCTGTGCGGCTACCAGTGGGGCCCTTCTGCGCAGGTGTGAGGTATGCTGAGCTAAGCTGGGGATGTAGAGCTTTGGCTCTGTTATGCCACTGTTATGTTGGTTCCAGTTGCGGCAATTCACGGTGCGGACAAAGGCAGGGCAACCAGGCTGTGTTGGGAGGTGGCGCATGCACGATTGGGAGGTTTCAAAGGGGCGCTGGCGCTCTGCATGCTTGTGTGTTCCGAATACTCGGCACGTTGCCACTGAGCAAGTCGTGGTGAGCTCTCTAGAGTATGGTGACAATGGATGGGCGCGGTATAGCATTGGACAGTAAGGGTAAAGGAGGAGTTGCACTTGCTTATTGACGTGGCTTCCTGTTTCGTCTCGCTTTTCCGGGCAGCTGTCCTCATACCACGTGGTATTTGCTGTGGCTGTGTGGGAGCACAAAAACCTAGGATGCACGTTTTTGGTGCTGCGGTGGCGGGGTAGACGTGGCCAGATACCCATGTTGCAAGGAAGCCGTGAACACTGCCTTGATGTCGTTACGTTCGTGGCCTTGGGTTAAATAGTCTTCCCAATGGACATTAAAATCTGGTGGCGAGAATGGATAGCAGGTTTGGTAGGGAGAGTTGCTTTCCCATGAGCACGCGGGGGGCATTAACGTTGGCCGGGCATGCCTGAGGCAAACGTCGCCGACCTGCTTAACGAAGTTCGTGAAGGAGATATTTTGGCTGCGGTAGGCAATTAGTACTCGCGGCCTGACGTCAAATTTTGGGCTGTAACGGCTTTTGGCGCACCTAACCGCCCGGTTCCAATCTGTCAAGTTCCTGTCAAGTGACAAGGGCAGAGGCCCTCTAGCCATGTCTTCTGTATGTCGCATGATGTAGGTTGTGGTAAAACCAAAAATGCACGGCACTGTGAGATGCGGCCCGCCTTCTGAGGTACGGTACGCTACTGGTGCCGACGCCTTAACGGGCGCATTCTAACTCAAGACAACATAAATTGACCAGACTTGACCGAATCAACAGAGCTCGGCTTTCCATCCTAATCCTTACTTAGCTCGGACCCGTCCCTGAGCAGCACCACACACCTTGGGGCTGTAACATCAGGCCGGTGAACATCGTAGACGACCAGCGCGCTGCCCCTCCATCGGCACGCGTAGATATACATCAAGGTCCTACGTTCCGATAGTTGACTTGGCGCAGCTTGCGGACGCTGTGCGGCTGCCAACACCTCTAGTGCCGATAGGTGCGTATGGCGTTTGCATCTAATATGATGCAGTTGGCATGCCTGTGCTCCTGGTTAATGCTTCTAGCCACAAGTTTTCCTCAGAAGGTTTCCTACTTACAAGTGTTGCAACCGCTGCCCGGCGGATGGCAAACTGTTTTCCATGTATCTTGACGTAGCCTTTCCTTCTGCCTGCAGATAGCTCTATCCAACGCTGTTCCAACAGCCTGCGCGAACCTTAGCGGGCTTTGGTGGCGTTTTACAGTTCAAGCAAAATGACTTCAACATCAGCCCATTCCTTCTTGACGACAGCAGCGCTTGTGGTAGTAGCAGCAGCGCTGCTACACGTTACTCCATCTGATGCTTCCAACGGATTTCTTCAACTTCGTGGCGGCCTCCGTATACTCGGACTCCAGCAGCATGTCAAGACGTTGAAAACGTCTTCGCTTTCCAAACCGGTTGCCAACTCCAGTCACGAGCTTTTCCCGCAAGGCTGGATCTGTGAACGCAGCAGCAACAGTTCTCCCTTCCGTCTTACCCTGGCCAGTCCAGCACCTGCAGAGGAGCCCGGGCTTCAGCGTTACTGCTTCCGCGTCGACGATGTGGGCGGTTGCGACCCCTCGCAGCACTGCTGCGACGGCCAACAGGGACTGCAGAAGGTTGAGTTTGACGTCGGTGAGTCGGATTCCTGGAGTTTGTATGCATAGGCATGCTGGGATGCTGGGTTAGGAGGGTGATGTTAAAGCGGTACCGTCCCTATTCTCTAGGCGTCTTGGTCATCTCGGTGGTCTACCTGGCCCTGCTTTGCACGTAACGCTTGCGCTCGTCGTATCTTTGCAAAGGCCTCAGTTGTTACAACTGGTAATCCCCCCTTCCCCTCCCTCCTTTTCCTCCCTACTCCCTTTCCATTCCGCCACTCCTGCTCGACCGGTCAATGTACGTGCTCTTAACTTTACGTTTCCTTTCGTAGTTTCCGAATGCAAAGATTCCCTCCGCAAGGTTACGGTTGACGGCGTCACGACCTCGTACGAGTTCAGCTCTGCCCTCAGTGTGCTGCGTGTGACGGGCCTGTCCAAGACCGCCACCGCCGCCGCCGGCACCGAGATATGCCTCTACCTCGCAGCGCCCTCGCTGTGCCCCGGACTGGCGCAGCTCTGCTCCGCGGGCGCGGGCCTCTGCAAGTACGCACTCTTTAACGCAAAGAGGGACTGCTGCCCAGTCGGCATCGCAGGTCGCATGACCCAGTTGTCAGCGTTATCGCTGTCGTCTGCTGCTTCGTCTTCCTCCAATGCAGTGTCAGAGTCTTCTCAGCCTCTTCCTCAGTTCCTAAAGCAGCTTCCAAACCTTCCTGCAGCCCCCGTACCAGCCACCTCACCTCCGCCCGCATCCAGCTTTCCCAGCTACCAATGTCAGCGTGACGCATCCGACTCCCGCCTCTTCACAACTGCCTCCAACAACGTGACTGTTGTGAACGGTCTGACGCGCGTGTGCTTTGACGTCAGCGTGAAGGCCGTGTGCGACAACCCGGCCTCCAAGTGCTGCGAGTTCGGTCTCTACAAGATGGAGATTGACGCCGACCCCACGTGCGCGGACGCCCTGGCCTACATCACTGTGGACGGCGCCAAGCGCGCCCGCTTCTTCCAGACGTCGCCCTACCCCGTGATCAAGATTACCAACATTAACAAGGACATGAATGCAGTTGCCGGCACGGAGGTCTGCCTCTTCCTGCGCCCGCAGTGCAACTCGCTTGCCAAGCTGTGCACCCGCCACGATGGCTCCTGCACCATCGGCCTCTTCAACAAGCCAGCCTCAAGGTCAACGCCAACCTGCTGCCCGCTGTCTACAGTATAGCCATAGTAGCAGCAGTTAAGGCAGCGGTAAAGGCAGCAGCAGCAGAGCAGTAGCACGGGAACGCCAACGGGTCCCGCCTTTCGTGGGTTTGCACATCTTCCCGGAAAGTATATGGCTGCCAAAAGCAGCGGCAATGCTGTGTTGCCGGACAAATGATGTTGCTGTTGTGGTAGTGGGTGCCGTGCAATGAGCGTGCAGTGTAAGGCGTCTAGTAAGAACTCTTCTTGGAGTCTACAGTGGCGTTTCTATGGTTGGGCGTTGTCTGCCGTGTTAACCTTTGATTGCCGTTTACCGTGCGGTCGTTCAATAGGCTTTCGGCGATGACGACCTCCATAAGCTACTGCCTCGGCGCGAACAGGAATCCGCTTCCATTGCAGCATAGGCGTTGATACGGGTTAGTACGCAGTTGTGGTGTATGGCTTGATGTTTACAGGAGTGCTCATTCCGCGCAAGACGCGTGCCTATCCGGCCAAGTGGCACTGACCCTAGCTCTTGGCATCGAAAACGACTGGTGGCCTTGGTAGGAGTGGTGTTGTCGGTTTGGTTTCGTTGGTGACATGGTTTACGGGACGAATGCGAGAGCAGGACGACGCAGTGAAGTGTACGACCGCAGGATGTAGCAGCGCATTGGCCCTTAACAGCGCGCAGAGACTGACAGAGGCAGGCAGTAGCACTGACACGCAGGCAGGCAGGTAGCGCTAAGCAGCAGGAATGACTGGAGCAATCTATCAGATGATGTGTTTTGCAGGCTAGTTCATGTGGGGATTCTCGTAATTTTTTCAGGGACTAACTGTTAGGGGTGCAGCGTGTTTAGTGTTTTTGGCGGCACAGGTGTCCTCGCGTTGTGTGACGCAGGGTATGCCGTGTTTGCCATGTGGGTACCTAGTCCGACTCGTTCTGTTCTGACCCAAATGCTGAACTGGTCATGGCTATTGCGCGGATCTATTATAGCTGTCGTACTGGTAGGTGAACTAGGTTTGGATTGTATGCCATCAACCTTTCATTGCCTTATTCACTTTGATAGGTGGTTACCGAGGAACGGGGAGTAGGCATGTAGCTATGGCATGGTGCTGAATGGCTTACAGGCCTACAGTTCTGTACTAGTTGCTGTGTAGAGTTTAGGAAGAACGGTACCTGGCTAGTCGATGTGGGTACATATCCATCGGTTAATGGGACATGAACATACTCGCGTCCTCTTATTATAGCCGCTTTGCAGCGCTGAAGATGTGTAACGCAAACGAAGGCAAACCGGTGCCCTGGGCCCTGCGCACCCGTTACCCACGTCACGTGCCCGTCTCGACCTAGTTCGCTGCTGTGTACCAAGCATGCAAATGGCTAATGCTCGCAGCGCGACAGGGATGTGCAGAAGGGGCTCGCAGACGCTCCATGCTGCGCCTGCGAGCCCCTTCCCGCATGCTTTCCAGACGCACAGCCTGACGATCAGCCGGGTATACAACTGTTGCTTCGGTCTGCGACTGGCTGTATTCACGAAACGGAGGTGGACACGCATATGCAAGCATATTTCAGTACTCGTCAGGGGTCGTCGAAAGAGTTGCTGCTCAGCAATACCAGGAGAGTAACATTAAGCTTGGCAGCAAGTGACAGACGCGTGTAGATAAAAATTGGGGCGCTTTTAGGGTGCCCCTTCGAGAGGCTTCTCAAGGCGGTTGGTGACCCCGACTGTCCAATAGAGTCACATGGGCACGGAGTGGCTGGTATTCGCTTGTTAATATGCGCAGCCACACAACGGAGGTCCCAAGCGTTCAATCATTGGTATCACGTGCGCCTTCGGCGGCGAAAGGCCTTGCCTCCGTTTGCAAATCGACAGGGCCAAGCCTCTATTAGAACCTTTATTAGCACCTTGCTTAGTTCATGCGGAAAAGAGGTGATGAAGGCTGCACGTGGGCTGGCGAGGTGAAGCTCTATGTACTACAACCAGTTGATTACTCTGCCCGTCTGCCGCCTTAGCTTCTTTCATGGTATGCTCTAGGAATTCAGGCAACAGAACATTGTCATTGTTTAACCGTTAGACCATATACTTTTTAGGAAAGTTCCCGTTGGCGCACCCTTGCTTCGTTTGCATGGAGGCTGCAGCGATGGCACCGTCCCGAGACATTACGCAGCAGGTAGCTTGGATAAATACTCATTTGTTCATGCAGCTGTTGGGAAATTAACTCTGCCTCGCTTGCATTCGCTGTCCCTTTTTAGAGGCTTGTTTGTCCGCGGGCGCGCAAATGCCGGCCGGAGCCTTCGCAAGCTGAGCAATGTCAGCGGTCTAAACTGACGTCCAGGTACGCAGCAGGGCGGGTGGTCCCGGTCTTGCATGGCTGTAAGCCCTTTATACTTTCATTGTGAAAGCCGTCACCCTTTTGCCGTCGCAGCTTGCAAGCTATGGCCACAAGTGGAGAGCAGCTTGGCGAACTAGAGCGCATCCTGCAGGTAAGCTCGTCAGGGTTTTTTGTGTTGGAACCCTGCGTGTCGATCCTCAGGACTAGGCTTGTTACAGTTTAACTAGAAGACCAGAGAGTGAAAGAGTTTTCCTTAAACATGATTAATGGCCAACAGTTTGTGTTCTATACTAAGGCGTGGGACTTTCGGACGTATCACCAAATGTCCCACGCCTTAGTATAGAACACAAACTGTTGGGCGTTAATCATGTTAAGAGGAAACTCTTTCACTCTCTGGTCTTCTGGAGAAATTGTAACGAACCTAGTCCTGAGGATCGACACGCAGGGTTTCCGCTACCATTCCGCTACCATTCGAGCGCCTGCCCGTTGCCCTCTACCATTGCAGCGCCAACCGCCTGATGCCGCCAATACATTCCTCGGAGTTTCGCCGCCTGTGCGCAGCGGATGCTACGGCGGTGCAGCTAACCCAATTTTGCACGACTCCTCCTGGAGCGCCTGCGCGCTCAACGCATCGCACTCCAACCTCCAAGCGTTGCGCGAACTGGACTCGCAACACTCCTTCCTGCGCTGCACCGGTGATTACCGGCTTCTGCTGGGTTCGCCGGACGTGCGCAGCCTTGTGGAGGAGGTCACAGAACGGAGCGCTTTGCAGCAGCCGCAACCCCAGCAGGAGCCGCGGCACCACCTCCTTCCATTCACCTGCCGTGCACAGTACTTTGCTGTGCGTTAGGACGGCGTGGCAAGGCTGTGCTGGAAGCAATAAATAGCAGTGTTATGTAGTGTATCTTTCTTGCGTGGGGCGCCAGCAGCGCTGGTCAGTTTCGTGCCTGTGGGGTTCAGCCACAGACCATCTTGCGGGAAACTGCCGACCGCTGACGTCCTTACCTGCTGCCAAGCCCCCTGCGCAACAGTTGTGGCGGTTCCGAGAGTTCAGACCTAGTGGTGTTCGCCGGCACTGCCACATGTGTTTTCCAGGGGCGCGCTCTTATAGTGAACATAGGCGCGAGTAGCGCACCAAAAACAACAGAAACCCGTAGCGGTGGCTTTTTGGAGCGTCTGGAACTTCCTAGGCATGCTCGGGTGTTTTCGCGTGATGACAAACCCACATCACCATTCGTGTATTTTATAACGACTCCTGAGTCTGCTTGCAAAACAGCGACTGTTGTGATGTACCAACAGTGGAGCATGCAGGAGACTTGCCTCTCCCGTTGCAGTGAAGCCCTCGGACTGCTTGTCCTGAACTTGTCATGCGTGTGTGTGCGTGTCTACGTGCTATGCGAGTTTTCACGGTTTCATGTCTGTTGAGAAGCACAATGCGCATTCTTGGCGTGTGTGGACGTGGGTGCTTCTCGTCCTCCTTACAAAACGTTGGAAGTGCGTTGTCCTATCACCGTGGCAATGGCAATTGTGGCAATGGCACTTTGCGTCTCATGCCGTCGCCTAAACAGGTCGTTTTGCCGTTTCCAGTGTCACGACCGGCTTCTGCTGCTGTCCTTGTCTCTCTTGTGACACGGTTTACTGGTTTGGGGGCAGTGCTGTTGCTGACGGTGCGGGTAGCGTCTGGGAGTCGCCTTGGTATTAATCCTGCGCTTCTGATGGGGCTTCGGCCTTGCGGCAAGATTGGCAGTTACGCTGTTTCGTTACCAGATGTGTTGTCATTTGCCCCGTGTGCGCTTGGTGCTTCACTGTTCTCGGTTGTCTGAACGGGGATGGCCCCTGTGTGGTGGCGTTCGTGTATGATGGCCGGGTGGCGGGAGACTTACGTTGAGGCGCGCTTTTGTATCGCAGCTGATGTATGAACCATACGCTTTGTACTTGAGCGGTGAAGGCCAAATAGGTTGGTCTGCGGTTTGGCTTGGATTCAGAATTTTGGAAGTTGAGAAGACGCGCAGCTGATGTCTGCTAAGCATTCAGCCGCTGGCGCATTCATGGCGTCTCTTTATTGGGCCGCGCTGCTCTGGATGTTTCTGAGAATGGAGATTGGACGGCAGTTTCCAATCATACCATGTTTCGAGGTGGCAGTACGGCGCTTCCCTTACTGTCACCTCAATGCTGAGGCTTGTTCGTCTGATGCTAGTATCCTTTGCATACATCACCTTTGCCTTTCCTGACCCGGTGTCCGTTGACAAAGCATCTCGTTCAGTTTTCCCATACCATGCAGCGTGGTGTTGGAGTTTGCCGCGGATGGCTGGTTGAGGAAAATACATACGTCTTGTCCGTGTGAGAGTGCAAGCTGATTATTCTTGCCCGTTGCGCGGACAAAATACAGTAGATATATCCAGATATGATGTAAAGCTGTTCTGTATCATGGTTCGTACAGGTGTCGTGCTTCCTTGACACCATAACGCCAGATTAGGACGTTCCTACGTACGGGGAACCTACGTTCCTTTTGGCATACACCAGCGTCTGCATGTGCGCAGCTGTTTCCATGCCTTCCAGTACAGCTAAATTTGATTCCAGTTACAACCACATGTGACTGCATACGTATGCCGTTGAATTGCTGTGAAGACAGTTCATGTATCGGTATCTGGTGGCGGCACTGTGCAACACAGCCAGGCACCGCTGCCAACATTGCAACCAACCATCGTTTTAATCCAGCTCGCTCAGCAACACGCGGCCGCACAACAAACACCCGCGTGAATGCTGAGGCACAAATCCCCCCACGAACCCCACGTAGTGAACTGCAGACGCCAGGGCAGGACTGCCACCAATCACCAATGACACCGGTAGCTTGGTAGTCAAGAGGACGGAATGCTGTGTCGGGTCGTGCCCCATGCCAGCCGGCGCCAATGCCAGCACCCTACACCTGCACCGCACTAACCCAGCAGCCCGCTACCGTCGCCACCGCTCAGCAGCTGTCGCAGCCGGGAGCGCAGGTCCGCTCCTCCGCTCGCGCCGCCGTCCACAGCAGCAGCAGTAGCCGCATTAGCACCTAGCATGGCCCCTGCAGCAGCCGCGCCAGTGCCGCCACCACCCCTGCCAGGTGCGGCCGCGCTTTGCTGCGCAACTGGCTGGGGATCCGCCGCACCACCGGTACCATGCTGGCGCCCTGGCGCAGCAGGCCCTGGCGCCGCGGCAGGACGGCTCTCTGTTGGCGCAGCCTTGCGCCTCGGCATGCCTGACCCACGGGTCTCACTTTGGCTGCGGCTGCGACTGCGGCGCCCGCTAGGGCTACGATCTGCACGTCGCTGCCGCGTCCGTTGTCTATCGTCATTCCCTCGACTCCTGCTCCGGCTGCGGCTGGCTTCACGGCTCCGGTGCCGACCCTTGCGCCGCTCCCCACCCTCATCATCATCATCGTAACCCCGGTGCCGGTCCCTCGTGTGCTCTCGCCCCCGGTCCCGGCCCTCCCTCCTATCGTGCCCTCTATCCCTCTCCCGCACAGGGTCTCCATCGTGCTCGTTGTCCCGATGCCTGGAGGAGCGACCCGCGGGTCGGTCACGTGAGCGTCGTCTCCTAAGGTCACCCTCGCGACTGCACGATCGGCTGCCACTGCGACTGCGGCGGCGTTTGGAGTCTGTGTGGGAGCGGCCCTTGTCCTTGTTATCCTTCCTGCGGGACCGTGGCGATGAGGGAGATCTTGATCTCGACCTAGGTTGCGACCGTGATCGTGACCGTGATGACCGCTTGCGGCGTTTGTGGCCCCGCTCCCTGGCCTCGTCAGCACAGTCGCTGTCGTCGCCGCGGCCCCGGCTGCGCCTGCCTCCGCCGGCTGCCGTGGCGCCGCTGTCCGGCCGCTCGGCTTGGATCACCTGGGTTGGGTTTGCGGCACAAGGTTCAGGAAGATGCACGTCATTAGCAACTCATAATGCTGCGGCTAAGATGCCTATCGGGCAAGCAACACAACACGCGCGTGTCTCTTAGCCATGCCTGTCACATTCCACTCCCTTTCAAAGCGTCCCCGACGCACCCACGTGGCACCTACCCGCGATGGGTCCCGAAGCATGGCTTCAAAAGCCGCTCGGTGCTGCGCTGCCGCCGCCGCAGCCGCCGCCACCAGGTCCCGCAACACCGCCAGAGAGGAGCCCGGAGGGGAGGCGGCGGCGGAGGCCCACCCGGCGCTGGCGGCTGGCGCCGTGAAGAGGGTGCCCGTGAGGCCCGCCTCCCTGGGGGCTGGCAGCACTGCTGGGGGCGCCAGTGCAGCAGCAAGAGCAGGAGCAGCCGCCGAGACGCCCCGCACACCAGGAGCCGCGTGCGGCCCTTTCACTGCCGCGGTCACTGCATTGTTGGGCGCTGCTGCCGCCGCCGCTGCTGCCTTCTGCGCCTCCTCGTGTTGCTGACGCTCCTTGGCCTTCCGCTGCTGCAGCTGCTGCTCCTTGCGGGCCTGCTCCTCCTTCTGCCGAGCCACCAGCCGCTGTAACGCCAGCACCTCCGCAGCGGCGGCGGAGCCCAGCGGAGGAGGAACACCCACACCGTCCGCCGCCTGCGGCCCCGCCTCTGCAGCAGCGGTAGCAGCACCCCCCGCAACTACGCCGCGAGCCGCCAGGGCAGCCGCCACGTCAGCAGGCGGTACGACAGTCCGCTCCTCACCGCCGCTGGGCTCCACCGCCGCCGCCAGCCCCTCATCGTCGGCCGATCGCAGGAAGAAGTGCCGGTGGTGGTGTATGGCCCGGGAGCGCCGCACTGCCGCCGCCACCTCCTGCTGCGCCTTGGCCTTCGCGAGCAGCAGCTTCGCAGCCCGCTGGCGAGCCTCCCACCGCGCGGCGGCTTCGGGGTCGGCCACGGCAGCGGTGCTTGCGGCGACTCCCGCCCCGCCACCGTCTCCTTGAGCTGCTGCACCACCTTCAAGTGCCGCGCTGGCAGCCCGCCGTCGTCGTTTGGAACGTCTGCCGCCGCCGCTGCCGCCGAGGTCATCGTCGTCGTCATCGCTGGAGTCCAAGTCCTCATCGAAATCATTGGAACCGCCCGAGGTCTCCGAGCCCTCCGCAGCAGAGCCCCCTCGCCGCGGAAACTCCTCGGAATCCGACTCCGACCCCGACCCCGAGTCGGACGAGCTGGCCGGTCTCTCAAACACCATGATGACCTGCCCCTCCTCGCCCCGACCGACCCCGCCCTCCGCAGGGCTCGCCGGCTCCCCAGCACCAGCATCCTGCACATCGCCTGCCGCCCCCGCGCCGCCGCTTCCTCCTCCATCATCACTCCTCCTGGGTGCAGGTGTGAGGCCCTCCGCCGCACTGGCGGCAGCGGTACCAACGCCATCAGCCCCCGCCGCGGCGGTTTCCTCATCAATGGAGGCAGGTAGGGCGGATGCCTCGCCGTCCGCAGTGCCGGCGGCGTCATTGGAGGTGGCTGCAGAAGACAGCTTGGAGGGGGCTGGGGGCCTCAGGCCGGCGAGCTTGGGATTGGCGCGGATGATCACCCGGCCCGCGGCCGCGCTGCCAGTGCCGGTTGCGCTGGCGGCCCGGGCCGGAGCCCCCGCACTGCCCGCCGGCACCGAGCTGGCGTCGGCTTGCTTGGCGGCCCCAGCCGCAGTGACAGCACCCGCCATCCCATCGGCCGGCGGCGGCTCCGCCCCCTCATCACTCAGCACCACCGCCTCCCCGCCGTCGCCCTTCACTGCAGCCGGCCCGGCTGCCCCCGCACCTCCGCCGCCGCCCCCAAGCGCGCTCGCCACCGCCTCCGCCCCAAGCGCCGCCTCCAGCCGCCGGCGGTAGTATCCGTGGTGGGGGCCCCAGGGCAGCAGGAAGGAGAAGGCGGGGTTGGCGCGCTCGCGCTGCCGCACAACCGCCTCGAAGCCGATGCCGTTCTTCGCCACGTAGGCCACCAGCTTGTTGATAATGGACTGCGTCACGGGGGGCGGCTCCGCGTCTGCACCCGCAGCGGCGGCAGCGACCGAAGGGGCTGCGGCTGCTGCTGCCGCTACACCAGCGGAGGTACTTGCTCCGGCTCCTGTTGGTGCTGCGTAAGGGGGGTGAGCGTAGGCGGTATGCGGCGGACCGTAGGCCGCTAGGTGCGGCAGCAGGGGCACAGGGTGCGGATGCGGGGGAGGGTGGGGATACGCCGCCGCCGGAGCCAAGGGAGCTGCGTACTGCCCGGCAGCAGCTGCATGGCTGTACGGCGGCGGGGCGAGGGCCGGCGGCGGCAGCGGCGGCCTCAAGGTGCGCGCCCTGGCTGCCCCCCCGGCCCCCGACGTCCCTCCTCCCCCGCTGCTGCTGCCACCGCCGAGCTGCTGCTGCTGCTCCTTCGCCGCGCTCTCCGGCAGGCTGGGACCAAACTCCATCAGCCGGGCCCCCTCCCTCTCCGCCTCCTGCCCTTCCCCCTGGACCGCGGCAGCGGCAGCAGCAGCAGCCGCGCCAGCTGATGCCGGCCCCTCCTCCGTGGAGGACGTCCCGGGCGACACCCCACGTGGTGGCCGCAGCACTGCTGCCGCCTCAGCCGCTGCGGGGTTGGTGGCGGCGCCGGCGGCCCCCTCGCCCTCGCGCTCCTCCCCCGGCTGCGCCTCCGCACCGGGAGCTGCGTTGCGCGGCGGCAGCTCACGCACCAGCTCCCGCGGAGCCGCCTCCACCACCCAGCGGTAGTAGGGGAAGGTGCGGCTGCCGGGGAAGAGGAAGGAGAAGTTCGGGTTGTCGGCCTGCGGAAACCGGGGAGAACGGAAGGGCGTTGGAAGGGGCATGTCTTATGAAGCATCATGTGAGGCAAGGGACAGATCACATGGCGTTGCAACGCGTCCCTGCAGACCCTCAACCGCAGACCCCCGGAGGTTACTTTCCCGACCCAAATCCACACATGGCCTCTTCTGCCCGGCTCTCGTCCCCACTATCGCCTTTCTCGCCCCTGTTCCCATCACCGCAAGACTCCCCACTCCTCCATCTGACCCGCACCCGCTCCTCGTTCGTCAGTCTCCTCATCTTGACCCCCTCCCGCTCCTCACCTGCCGCACCCTGAGCAGCACCTCCACCTGACCCCCGTTGGCAGCCACGAAGCGGGCGGTGCGGACCAGCAGCTGCGTAGGGGACGGGCGGGAGTAGGGAGTGGGGGGCGGGCGGGAGGGAGAGAGTAGGGGGCGGGCGGGCGGGAGGGACAGCACGCAAGACACAGTGAGACAATAGACAGGGACGCAGTTAGCTGGCAATGGAAAACTAGGCTGCTCCCCACCCCGCCCCCCACCTGCCCCGCCCTACCCGGTGCACTCGCTGGTTGTCCGGCAGGTGCGCCTCCAGGTGCGCGGGTACGGCGAACAGCGGCGCGTACGGCTCCTCCGCCACCGTGGCAGCGGCACCATGGGCCGGCGCCGCCGCGTGCTCCCCCTCCTTCACCGCGCCACCGCTGCCGCCCTCCCTGCCTGCGTCCCCTGGGCTCATGTCGTCCCGGCGCTCAGCGTCCGCCTCGCCGACTGATGCGCCATAGTCAAATGCAAAGGCAGCGTAACGACTGTGCGCCGGTGGCGGCGGCAGCTGCGCCTCATCACCATCCTCGGCCTCGCCCGCAGCACTTCCGCCGCTGCCTCCGCCCGTAGGCCCTGTGCCGGGACTGGCTGCGCTGCCGCCGCTGTCTGAATCTGAATCCGTTCCTGATTCAGTCTCCGTGCCGCTGCTAACACTGTCGCTGGCAGCCCGGCTAAGGTGGTATTGGGCGGCACCGCCGGCGCTGTCGTGTTGGCCTGCTCATCAGTTCGGCGGAGGAAGCGGTGTCAGCGGGGGAGCTAAACAAGCGGAGAGCAGCGGTTGGAAACACGGTGTGCAGTAAGGTTTGGGAAGCCCAAGGCTTGGGCCGGGCTGCCATGCGCGGGTGCATCACATTCGTGCGCAAACGATATGTCAAGGTGCAAGCAGGCAAACCGGGAAGCGGGTATCGACAAGAAGGAACTAGAAGGCATCGGGCTATGGCCATCCTGCGCCTCGGACGGGCGCGGAAGGTCCAGCAGGGCACCCACGCAATCACCGAGTTGCCGAGACGAACACTGTGGCTGAATCCTGGAAAGGGAGCGCTCAGGAAGGTGTCGTCAAAGGGTAGAAAGCTACGTCAAAGGACTGAGGGAGATGGTCCTCGGTATGCACGGTTGGGCGAGGAAGGCTGTTATAGATCACCTCGGGCCTCCTCACCATCATGTTGTGTCCACCATCCAAAAGCCCCGGACTCGAGTTCATGCTCGCGCGTTGGGTCCAAATCCTGGTAGCGTTCCGCATCCAGCTCTTGCTTTTCTGTGCTTTTCGAGCAAGACCGCTTGACGTTTTGAGGGCGTAAGGAAATGCTTTCTAAGAGCAGGCGCACGTCAAAGCGGTCCACGAGGCCACCACCAGCATGCTTCTGGAGGTGCCTGCCCTCTTCTATAAGCTTTGCTGTTTCATCATCACGAACAAGCGTGACGGGTAAACCCAAAACATAAAGGCTATCGTCCTCCGATACATTTTTGTTCGTCAGGCCAGCGAATCTGCCTGTGGCGGCCTGTCTGTGGCCGCCACGTCCACTCATCTTAGCTTGCGTATAGTCTATAAGAGGTTAAGCGAGGAACAGCTATGCGTGCGGTCTCCGAGGGTACCTGACTCAACCGTACGACAGCATCCCATGGCACAGCACAGGATCCTAAGATACGAATACGCGTCGTAAAATACGCGCTTGCAAGCATGGCTGTTGACGCTCATATGTGCGTATGGCGTCCAATACCGGTATTTACTGCTGGGAGTCATATGGGTTCCGCACGCTGCTTGGTCTGAACCGCACATGAACCCTACGGAGCTGCGTAAGGAGTATCCTTTGATGTGTGTCGAATGCGCCCTTGCCCTTCTGTCTTGCCTTGTTTCCCATTCCAAGTTTTTTTTCTCTAGCTTGCCCCCTGTATCTTTTTGGGCGGAGCCCCCGCCATGAAGCGGCTCCGGGGAAAAGGTTGGAGCCACGCAACCGTGGTTGTTGTTGGAGTTGTTGCTGTTCGTCCTGCAACATGGCTTCTAAGTTAGACCCGGGGGGTTGTTCCCTGTGTTGGTGTGTGCGTCGTGCGCTTTTTAGCATGACCTTTTTGCATGGGGGTTGCAAGGACAGTACCATACACACACGCATGCTGTCCAGAAGTAGCCCTTTGGCAGCATGCTTCGTGCATGCCTCGATGTGACTATATGGGAAAGGTTTATGAAGGCTTGCATGTGGCTATAAGGCAGGACAGAGAGCAGCGGGTTGTAAGCAGCGACAGGGGCAGCGGCACGCGGTATTAGCGTTACCCGCCCTGATGCTGTTGCACTCGCGTGGCTGTCCCGTGGCAGCTGGAGGTGCTTGCCTGGCTGGTGGAGGCGCTGGGAGCTGGAACTGTGTTTGGAGACGCTGTATTCAGCAGCGCAGTGGAGTCGGGTAACCTGGAGCTGCTGAGGTGGCTGAAGGACAGGGGCTGCCCCTGGGGACCAGAAACCTTCACCACAGCTGCCAAGGCGGGCTGCCAGGAGGCGTTGGAATGGCTGGTGGAACAGGGCTGTCCCATGCCGGTGCGTAATGTTGCACATGTGCTTTGGCTGTACCGGTCAGGCCGTTGCAACATGATGCATGTCCCCTGAGACATGAACAAGCACACATGCATGCTTCCGTACCAAGCCCCCCTTGTCGCAAGATTTATTCCTAGCACCTCCTCGCGCACCCTACCCTCGATGCTGCATCTTGGACCCAGCAGGATAGCGGCGGCCCTACCTGGAGGCTGCCCGCAGCGGCGACCTGGCCACCCTGCGCTGCCTGAAGCAGCTGGGTTGCCCCTGGGGTCCCCCAGGGCGCCTCTTCAATCGCTGCATTTGTGTGGATTGCTGCACCCAAGTGCTGAGCTGCTTGCTGGAGGAGGGCTGCCCGGTAAACTGGGCTGAGGCGGTGGTGGCGACGCGACCGGCTGCGCAGGCTAGTGGCAGCGTGCATGCAAGGGAGAGGGTGGAGTGGATGCGGGAGATCAGACATGGGCGGGCGCCGGCGCAGCTGCAAAGGCAGCTGAGGCCGCTCTGAAGGTACTTCTTGACAGGTGTGCGGACGGCTTCTGTTGTGCACGGCCTGGGGTGCATGTCAGCATTGAACATGAACGTGTTGAGATATCGCATTCTACTCCTCGGACGCCGTATGGTAAAGTTGCCGCACTAGGAGTCTGCCAGGCGCCGCGCAGTTGCCTGACGTGTGGCGTAGCAGCCTGACACGCTTCCACGTACGGCGCCCATTGGTTCATTGGGTTTGCCGTTGACTACAATCTTAGCAGAGAAACTCAGGACAGGGAGGATTGGATGCCTAAGTCGTCATACTTTGCCCATCCGTTAGATGACGGCCCGAACATGTGTTGAGACACGGCAGACCCACGGGTCACGGGTACTTCTTACAGGGCCCTTTACACCGGGCGTTTGGTTGCCGCGGGTGGTGCCGCATGTGGTATGGAGTTGCACATAAGGATTGATGTTGTCTGACCGGTACCGTAACCAGTATTGAGTGGATTGGTAACAGCGGCGTGCTGCCAAACGGCTACCTCTGAAAGTCGGTGGGACCATGCTGGCATCTACTACCGGTATGCTACTCGGAGCCCACACATGCCTTCCTGCCGATGCCTTCGCTTGCACGTCGTAATGCGGGGCACACTGGAATGAACAGTCTTGAGCCGGGAATGAGTGCAATGGGCGAGGGCGCTTTGTACGCCGTGGGTGAACAAGGCAGACAGCCTCAAGAGGCTCTCAGCTTGCCTAGCCATGCATGTGACGAACAGTCAAACTACAGTAACAAGGGGGTGTGTTAAGCGTTCGCGTAACAAAGTGCCGTGATGTGCATGCCGTAGTAGGTTCCCGTACAGAGCAGGAGGGGCTCCGCTCTTTTCCAGCTGAGGAAGCTGAACCCCCTTGTCACCCTACCTATGAGGACCATCTCCTAGCTGCGTGATGTGGGCGTATGATGTAGCTTAGCTGCGACTAACGGCGCGTGCATGCAAGGGTTGCCTTGTGTGCCTGTATGATAGATGCTACGAGAGGCGAAAACACAGCAACGTGTACCGGTATCTTACATGCGACTCATCAATCACCGCAGAAGCACACGGAGACTCTCATGTGCAGCATAAGCAGCTACTGACTGCGATGTGAAGCATGTTTGCAGCACAATAATAACCCGTAAGCGTTAATCAATAGCACGTGCGGCTAAGCGCACCATGCGAAGTCCTACGCTGCAGAACACATCCTGCTGACCGCACCACATGTTGGGTCGTGTAAACGATGCTGGATCCAAAACACCAGCTGTCAACTTAAATACAAACTTATGGTGGTGCAGGCATTTGCACACCATCATTTTCCTCTGAAAGAATATGGGATATATACGTGTCTGTTGCAAATCGGTTACCAGCGTCACCAACTTGCCCCGCAAAAACACCTGCAATCTACTACCAACATTTGCACGTTTGCAGCGCTGAGCCACTACCGGGTCTTGCCGGCTGGGCTAAACAAGGTCCTTCCCGAGCCGTAAGTAAGCCCAAGCATATACAACCGTACCGTGCATGCAACAGCAAGCCTACGACAAAGCAACTGCATTACGTCATCGCAACAGCGGTTGAAAGGCAAGCCAACCGCTAAACTAAGATGTACACAGCCAGTCGCAATATTCACGTCAGCTACGAAGCACAGGCACTTCTTCGTCAAGTTGCAAACATGCAACACACCACACGTCGCGCACCTATACACGGATATCATACAGCGCTATAGCATGGTCGATTAGCTGTAGCAGCCACAGCTGCTACCGCTGCTTTTGCGTCTGCTTTAGATCGATACCGTGGACAGAGGGCAACACGAGGGGTTGCCTCCCGAGGCTGGCTTGTTGAAGAGGCCGATGGTGCAGGAGCCATCGTGGCGAGTGCACAGCTTGGCAAGCGAGTTGCACTGCGGGCGCAGGAAGAGGCAAACCTCCGTGCCGGCAACTGCATTCATGGTCTTGTTAATGTTGGTAATCTTGATCACGGGGTAGGGCGACGTCTGGAAGAAGCGGGCGCGCTTGGCGCCGTCGACAGTGGTGTAGGCCAGGGCGTCCGCGCACGTGGGGTCGGCGTCAATCTCCATCTTGTAGAGGCCGAACTGGCAGCACTTGGAGGCCGGGTTGTCGCACACGGCCTTCACGCCGACGTCAAAGCACACGCGCGTCAGACCGTTCACAACAGTCACGTTGTCGGAGGCGGTTGTGAAGAGGCGGGAGCCAGAGGCGCTACGCTGGCACTGGCAGTAGGGGAAGGTAGGAGGGGGAGCAGGGGTGGTGGGAGGGGAAGGAGGAGGCGAGGACTTGGGAGGAGAAGGCGGGACCTTGGTGCCGGGAGGGGGAGGCGGGACGGAAGAGACCACCGGCGGGGGAGGAGGGACGTCGGTGGTGGTGCCGGGAGGGGGAGGAGGGACGTCGGTGGTGGTGCCGGGAGGGGGAGGAGGGACGTCGGTGGCGCCCGGAGGGGAGGGAGGAGGCGGCATGCGCTCCTGGGGCCTCAGAGGGGGCCAGTTGGGGACGGCGGGAGGGCTAGGAGGGGTATCAGGGGGCGAGGGAGGAGTGGGAGGGGGCGACGGAGGAGGAGGAGGGGGGGGAGGGGGCGGCGGAGGAGGGGGAGGAGGAGGCGAGGGCGAGGGAGGCGAAGGGGGCGGAGGAGATGGAGGCGAAGGCGGAGGTGGTGGGGAAGGCGAGGGCGGTGGCGGGGAAGGAGGCTGCGGCGAGGGCGGCGGAGGTGAAGGGGGCTGCGGTGAGGGCGGCGGAGGCGGGGTGCTGCCGGCGATGCCGACAGGGCAGCAGTCCCTCTTTGCGTTGAAGAGTGCGTACTTGCAGAGGCCCGCGCCCGCGGAGCAGAGCTGCGCCAGTCCGGGGCACAGCGAGGGCGCCGCGAGGTAGAGGCATATCTCGGTGCCGGCGGCGGAGGTGGCGGTCTTGGACAGGCCCGTCACACGCAGCACACTGAGGGCAGAGCTGAACTCGTACGAGGTCGTGACGCCGTCAACCGTAACCTTGCGCATCGAGTCCTTGCACTTGGCAGCTGCGTGGGCGGAGGCGTAGGGAATGGGAAAGGGACCAGTTGTCAGTTGCACGCGCGGTAGGCTTGTTTTTGTAAGGAGAGGGGTGCCTTGCCAGCATGAGTGGATTAGTGTGAAGAGTCTAGCTGAGGCGCCAAGGATTGCAATCCGCCACATGTTGCATGACAAAGGACCTAGTTAAGCAACCTAAGCGCGCCATCCTAATAGCAGGCAATCATTTTATAGTCCAACGCTCCTCAACGACCAAAGCAGTTAAACCATCTTGACTCACCGACATCAAACTCGACCTTGTACACTCCCTGGTTGCCGTTGCAGCAGTACAGGGAGGGGTCGCAGCCGCCCACATTGTCGATGCGGAAGCAGTAGCGCTGAAGGCCGGGCTCCGCGCCGGAAGCAGGGCCGTCGAGAGTGAGGCGGAAAGGAGACTTACGCGAGGCGCGCTCGCAGTTGCAGCCCGGAGGAAAAAGGGTAGCGTTGCTGATGGCCTTCGGTGATGGAGATGGAGGTGGTGGAGGCTTGGCCTTCGCTAGCAGGTGACGAGTTCCGCGAAGATGAAGAAACCCGCCTGAAGCACTAGCTGGTGCAGCGCATAGCAGAAATGCGACTAGCACCGCAAGCGCGGCGCCCGCGAGGAGCGCTCGGGATTGCGACCGCATCGACGAAACGACTTGTCACCAAAAGTGAAGAGGCGTGGATGTCAAATTAGGAAGAGCGGGTTGTTGGGGTTACCTGCGATTAAAGGGTTAGATTAAACTGGGTCAGCGGTTTCCTCAAAGTAACATCCGGCGTTCGCGCAGAATTCTTCAGGGCTCGCATTCTAGTCACCAAACATCAAAGACAAACACGAGATAAACACCAGAAAGCTAAGGCGTTGCATTTTCGTGAAGCGAAGGCGGTAACCTAAACTCACCGAGAGCGGATGGCGGTTACGCCCAACCAGATAGAAGGACTAGGTTAATCTAATTGCAGCCACGGAACGCAGGACCAGTTAAGAGGCTTCTACGCGTGCCAATGGGAGAGGCAGCGCGCTGGTCGTCTACGCTGTGCACCGGCCTGATGTTAGGTTAACAGCACCAAGGTGTGTGGTGCTGCTCAGGCGCGGGTCCGAGTCTGCTATGTTGAGGTCAGATGTATAAGCCGAGCTCTATGACTGAAAGCATGAGGATGCCCTTTTTATGATGAACTGCAGTAACGGCTGTTGGTGGGCGGCCAGTAGTGCCGTACACGTTTTGTTTCATTCCTCTTGCACAATATTCATTATGCCGCTGCTTATAGTTCATAGTTAAAGCTTAAGAAATTTATTGCGGCTAGTTAGCGAATGCTCGTGCATGTCTGCTTTGGTTGGTTGCTTTGGCTTACACCGCGACATAAGCTTTCTAGCTAGCTAAGCCTCCGAGATCTCTAAAATAATCATCGGAATATGCTTGGTATGCGGAATTCGCTGTTAGACCGGATCTGACGGACGGTTACAGCGGAGTCCATCGCGGCTTCTGCGAGAGTAGGAAGCATCCCTTGGGATATTTTGCCGAGTGCAATCATGGGTTTCGAACACGTATAAGATCCATACAAGTGAAGCGAAAGACGAGGGACTGTAGGCCACTGGCGGTTTAGGTCCGCAGTTGAGCATTAATGGTCCAACTGAGTCCGAGCGGCGTTAAGTCTTACTTACAGTTCCATGATCTTCCCCTTTCTTTTGCTCAAGCAAAATACTTTTAACTTGAAGTCCATAAGAACTATCTACCATATTTCTATCGGCTGGCATGAGTCGTATAGAAGCGTGCATGTAGCGTCCACCCTTGCCACAGTTCTCCATCCATCCCAGGCACAGGGCAGAGGAAGGCGGCGGCGCCACACTAGAATACAACTGCAAGGTGCAAGCAAGTAACCACCCTAGGGTTATTATCTCATAACCGCCTCTAGCAGCAGAGCTGCCGCCGTGCTTCCTAGGTTGAAGGCGGCCACACGCATGAGCTGTGGTACCTATACGAGTCGTTAGGTGCCATTGCTGGCCTTAATTCCGCGCAGTGCACCTTGAAGAAACAACCCCTTGGTACGTACTAGCCGATTGGAAACCCTGGTGACATTAAGACAACTTGGCAACAGTCCTATGGACCCCCACACTTTCTACTGCTGCTTCCTTGACTAGCTTCTACGGGTATGCGTTGGGCTAAGCCCTGTTCACGAGTCAACTCCAAGAACATTTAGGAGGGCTTCAGACCGCGGTTCGCAAGAGCTACGCAGCCGACTTCACACAACTGTCACGTTCTGGCTGAGAGCGTTGCCACTCCCGCAAACAACCCAATCTAGCAACAACAGGCAGCCAGTCGTGAACGGAGTCAGCAGTGAGCACTCGAAGGCAAACAGAGGTCAAAGCAATACAGACATTTAGACGCGGTTCGTGTAAGATGTGCCCTCAACAATAGTAGCGCCTGCATCTCGTTTCAAGCAGAACGGACCCCATCTACCTACTGCACCAACTGCCACCAAGACCGCCCGCACAAGGTGAACATGTCAAATGGCTGGGGGCGCACTGCTCTCCACGTCAACACGCGCCAGCAATACACCTCCCCAGCTAACCTCACTCCCATGCTGCGGCTACTCCCCAACTTCACACCCACGCTAATGAGTCACAACTATCACCACGCAGCAAACGTACCCATTGCGCACTAACCCCAGTCTGGCTCAGCTGCCTGCATGCTTCCTCACGTCGCATGCGCCCTGTCCGCATGCTCCGGCTCCACTCCTTCCCCACCACCTCCTGGCCGCCCGCGTGCCAGCCCGGATGCCGCCCCCAACTCAACACCCCCAACGTTAGCCCACCATCGTAACATCCCCCAGCGGCGCCTCCTCCCTCGCCGCAAGCGGCACCGCGGTACCGCCCGCCGGTGTGGCGGCAGCGGCTCCCACCCCGGGGGTATTGTCCTGCTCGGGTAGCTGCTGCGGTTGAGCGGGCAGGGAGGCCAGCGGTAACAATGACGCTGCAGTACCCGCCGCGGCTCCAACTCCGCTACTACTAGCCAACTGCTGCTGCTGCTCCTGTTGTTGTTGCTGCTGCTGTTGCTCAGACGGCTGAAGGAACGATTGCTGCAAGGAAGACTCGGAGCCCACACCTGTCAACGTGTTCGGTTGCTGTTGCTGCGTTCCTAGCAATTGCTGCAACAACAGCTGCTGCTGTTGGGGATGGAAGCTCGCTGCCGCACCCAGCATACCGGGCTCAGGCTGCAAGCTAGCCCCCTGGGGAGCGGAGCCGTAAGCCATGTACTGCAAACCCGCGTACAGTGCAAGCGGTTGCTGTTGTTGGAGTTGTTGCTGCTGCTGGTCGCCGAACATGGGCACCAAGTGCTGGGGGATTTGCGGCGCGTACTGCTGCTGCTGCTGCCCCGATGGAGCTGCCGCCGGCTGCACACCCCGAGGCGGGGCCAGGATCACGGGCACGCCTCCGTGCAGCTGGTGGTGGCTGGGCGGTAGGGTTTGCTGCGCCTGGGCAGCAGGCGGCTGCTGCTGCCCCGGGTGCCCCCCCGGCGCTGTCATGCCAGACGGCAGCGGCGGACGGATGGTGGGCACGCCGCTCATGTGCTGCGGAGCAGTGGCAGTGGCTAGATGCGGCTGCGAAGCATGCGGTTGCGGCATTGCATACGCGCCGGCTCCGTTGCTGCCTGTCACTGCTGCCCCGAATGACAGCGAGCCGCTGCTGTAGCCGACCTGAGCGCTCAGCGGGGCAGCTGCTCCCTGGGAGCGCAATAGTCCGAATGCAGCCGCAGGTCCCGATGACCCGGGCCCAATACCTGCCTGCTGCCCTGGTTGCGACGGCTGCTGCGGACCCTGGCTGCCAAACGCCGCCGAGGGCTGCGACGCAAGGGGGTGCTGCGAGCCCTCGGCCGAAGACGAAGCCAAGGAGGGCTGCTGCGGACCCACTGACCCATGGGTCGGTCCCGCCACCAGAACTGGGAGCAGCCCTTGGTGCTGCTGTGGGAGGGGCGCCGCAGGAAAGACGCTCTGCTGCATGAGCTTCTTCGCGGCCGTGTCGCCGATCTTGTTCATGATTGAAAGGAACTCCTCGAGCACCACACGCTCCTTCCTACCATACAAAGGCCCTGGTCGGGGGGGCTGCTGCTGCTGTTGCTGCTGCTCCGGCTCCCGCTGCTGCCCCTGCCCTTGTTGCTGTGCGCCACCGGGTGCCGCGCCAGCTGCCGCACTGCCCTGTGCCTCCGCCTCCGCAGCCCTACCCGACACCGCTCCGTCTGCTACTCCGCCTTCCCGCCCCAACAACGCCTCCACTGGCACCCCGTTCGGGTCTGCCGCTGCTGCCGCTGCTGTCCCCGCAGAGCCCTCCGTGCTTGCGGCCGCCGCTTCCCTGCCATCTCCGCCAGCTTCCGAGGTACCGCCCGAGGAACCCGCCTTCTCCCGACCTCCTTCGGCTCCACCGCAGCAGGCCCCCGGCTCCTGCTTGCCCTGGTCGCCACCTGCGCCGCTACCGGCGTTGGTCGCACCCGCCTGCTGCTGCTGATGTTGCTGCTGCTCACGTGACGCACTGCCGGTGTTCGCCGGCCCCGTCGAGTTGGCAGCCTGGCCACAACCGTTGCCATCGCCGCCTGCTGCCCCTCCAAGCGGTGCAGAAGCCGCTGCTGCTGCTGCGGAGGCCGCTGCTGCTGCCTGCACACCGGTGGTCCGAGCTGGCGCCGCCTCATCGTCAGCCACCAGCCACAGCAGCCGACAGAGCTCCTCGATGACGTGGCGCTTCACCATGCCGTTCACAACCTGGAAGCGGGCGGGTCAGGTCAGGTTGAAAACGGTCGTGCGGCTACTGATAACGGTCACGCTCTCCTAGTGGACGCTTCCTTGCGTCGCAATGCTTCATTAGGCGGAGACTCCATGAGAGACACAACGCATGCGTGCTCCCTGACCCGCTCACCTCATGCAAGCCTGACCGCACCACCGGCGCCGCCGCCCCCTGCCCCGCCCCAGCCTGCTGCCCCGACTGCGGCGGCGGCGGAGACGGTGTTGCGCCCAGCAGCGGCAGCACCGGCGCCGCAGCTCCAGGGGGGCCCGCCGCCCCCGCTCCCGCTGCTGCCGCCAGCGCCAGAGACAGCGCTTGCGGAAGCGCTGACAGGCCGCCTGGCGCCCCAGCCATCCCGCCCAAGCCAGGCGGCAGCCCCGCCCCGCTGGGCCCCGCCCCCGGTCGCCCCCCTGTCGGCCCGCCCGCCACCGGCGCCAGCGTCATGCCCACCCCCATGCCGGGGCTGGGGTGCTGCTGCGGCTGCTGCAACAGGCCGCTCAGACCCGCGGGTAGGAGGCCTGGACGGATGTTGGGCAGCATCCCGGCCGGCAGGTTCATGCCGGGTGGCGGCAGCCCCAACGCAGCACCCAGGCCTGCGGGGCCCGGAGGCGCGCTGCTGTAGCGGACTCGCTTGGAGGAGCCCGCTGCGGCGGCGCCGGAGGACCCGGAGGGTGCCGTGTCCTGCAGGAGTGGGGACAGCGGATGCGCTATTGAGTTAGCCCGGGCCCAAATGGTGCGGCGTGTAGGTGAGTAGGCGGTCTGCGTGAGGCATGCGCCGTTCGCCTGGGGCGCGGCATTCGCGTCATGGCTGCGGGCCCGACCTGCTATACAGCAGGGTTTGTAAGCGGAACGGGCAGCGCCCAGCTGACTGCACCGCTTACCTCATAGTTCTTGCAGTCCACGCACTTGCAGTTGTCCGAACAGTAGATGCCGGCCTGAAAGCACTCGCAGTACTTTTTAAGGCAGAACGACTTCTTGCAGTTGCAGCCCTTCAGGTGACGCGGCGGCGGGGCGGCGCTGCTGACCACCGCGGCGGTGGCAGCCGCGCTCTGCTCGTGGGACTGGGGGCGGGAGGGGGCAGAGGGGCGCAGCAGGGTGGCGGTTGGGGTACAGGTTGGGTTGGGTCGCCATGCGGAAGAAGCCGGCTGGACTTTACGGTAGTTGGGCGCCTGGCAAGGAGTTAGCCTGACCCCGTCATTGCGGCAGTGCCAAGCAATGAAGGGCCACGCGGAACGGCTAGGGGCGGGTGTGCTAGTCCTCCATCCCCAGCGAACGCCCTACCTGGATCTTGGGCCGGAATGCGTTGGGGTTGCGCTCCAGGATCGCCTCCACCGCGCTCTGCCTGGTCGCCTCGTTCTCCCGGTTGTTGAAGCACTGCAGGCAGTTGCAGTTCTCGCAGTAGCGCCCCGAGGCGAAGCACTCGCAGTACCTGTGGAGGCGGGGCAGACGTGTCCGGGAGGGTTGCCGTAGCCGGAAGGGCAGTGCGACTCCTAACCACGACGGCGAGCGCCTTTCTCACGCCAGGCTGCCTGGCACCCGCCTACGTTCCGCCGATGTTGAGTGCGCTCCCGCCCGTTTTCAACCGCCGACCCCATACTCACAGCTTGAGGCAACGCGAGTTCTTGCAGTTGCACTGCTTGCGGCTGGCAGCCCCCTGTCCTGCGCTCTTAGTCCGGTCCATGCCCGCTTTGCGGGTGTTCATGCTGCAGCCAGGGAATGTTGGCACAACCGGTAGGGAGGGTAAAGCAAGCCGACTGTGGGAGTTGGGACAGAGGGTTTAAACGAGGGCTGGGGCTGCGACTACAGCTTATGGCGTCGCAAGGACAGTGCCTTCCAGGGCCTCAACCCCTGCCGATAACCGTCCATCCGACAGTGCGGGGCTTTACCTTGGAGGTGGAGCAGGAGGGGGCTGCGCCTGGAACAGGGGAAGCCCCCCAGCTGCTACTCCGTTGAACGGGGTTGGCCTGAGGCCTTGCAGTCCCGGCAACCCAAGTGAGGCTCCTACCGCCGGCGCAAACATGTTTGGAGCAATAGGGCGAATACCCGGTGGCGGTGCGACGGTCCTGTGGCGTTGGACAGGTGTAGGCCCAACGGTGATGCCCAGCAACAGACGGGAGCAACGCGGCCATGGGAGCGAGCCTTCATTCGTCAAGAAGCCTGACACGAACCGCTCCGATCAACAAGCATGTAAGCTTTAGCCATGCATACTTACGGGGCTGCGACGAGCCTGCTATCCAGTGGTGGTCCATTGTTCGCGTCCATTATGCTAACGACTCCGCCCTGCGCTTCGGAGTCCAAGCTGAAAGCCGCTGTCTCCGTAGTCCTACCAAGCGGTCGCAACTCGCTGCTGTGCTGGCTTCAATACACTAATCACAGGTTGCGGGCATCTCAATGTACCCAGCAAGAGTTCTCGACGCATAACGGCAGCTCTTGCTCGTTTAAAAGCTTGTTTATTAGACACAATAGAGTAATAAACTAGTCTAGTAAATGCATCAAGCCCAAAGCGAGAGGTGGCTGCGGGGCGCAGCAATACAAGGCCTAACCCAGCTCTTGTTGCTTATTGTTGTGCTGTTTCAAGAGGAAACAAAGTGCATGAAAAGACGGTCGCAAGCAGACTGCAAAAGTACCCAAAGGACTATCTGACAACTGCCGCCCATTGAATTTGGCAATTTGCCCGGTTCCGTACGCGGAGTCAAAGGTCTTGTTCGAGCATGCCAATCGATGCACAGCTAACAGTACCCTTGAACACTTAAACTGGATTCGCTCGAGAGCACATGTACGCTTTTAGCGAACAGACTAGTTGCTAAAAATTGCCTCGGTGCTTCGCCCTTGCAGTAAAACCCCTTATAAAGAGCGGTTTATTCGATAGTCGTGTAAAGATTGTTTCGTAACAGACCAGGCCCTAGCGATAGTGGGCTGTCTTTGCAGATTTCCATATGACAAGGGCTAAATTACGGAAGGCGCACTTCCTGCACCGTGCAACTAATATCCTGGTGTGAGCAGCGTCCACGCACCTACTGAAAAAGGAGTTTGGCCAAACAGCCATTGTTCGTGCCATGCATGCTCCGCGCTCATCTTTCTGAGGGTATATCCACCGTGGCGCAATGGTGCCAAAAGTATGAAGCTAAAGTAATGTCCAAGTAGCAATGAGGCTAAACTTAGCCCTTGGCCCGTTATCCTTTTCCTAGGCAAGTTATGGTGTATTGTTCAGCTGTATTGTACAGCAACGACACGGGCTCTTGCAGCAAATCGTGGTTTGGTGTAAAGCAAATGTAAGGGCACCTAGTATATGGCAGTCGATGGTGACGATAGCTGTATGAGGGGGCTTCACCATTGGGTTCGTCATGATGGCTGTGGTTAGGGAAGGGGCCTTATTTTTCACCCTCCCCGTGCTTCTAGTACACCCGACAACGCGTCACGTAATTGTGCTGCCACTTACGGTTAGGGGAGGGGCTGGCCTGCACGGCCTCTCACGCACAGCGCGGATTGGGCGGGGGGGAGGGAGGTGGATGACTAAAGATGATGAGGCACCTCCTGGTCTGGTTACATGATCGCCATTCATCATACTTCTAGCTCAATATTCGTTGGTGGGCTATGTGTTTCCGCATTGCATTCATTCCAGTGGTAACAATACGTTCCTGTACTGATGAGGAGGGGCTCCGCCCTTTTCCAGCGTTGAGGAAGCTGAACCCCCTTGTGATGGGAAAGGGTTTGCGAGAGGGCAGGTGGGTAGCGGATGGGGAATAAGCAACATACCAACCCATAGGAAATTTCAGTAAGGGCAAAGCCAAGGGGATGGGAGGCGGTAGAGTGTCACAAACACAAAACGTTAAAAAAAGGACAGCCGCAGCAGGCTACAGTTCATCGACCGTTACTATGTGCCGCACACCTAGCACTGCCTTCTCTTGCTTTAGCCCAGTATGGATTGCTAAGAAATGAACAGGTACCGTTTAGGGATCTGGTAAGCAGATGTTGGGAAAGAGGTCAGGGGCCTGAGGCTACAGTTGGTTGTATAACCGCTTTGCACTTGTGGCATCGCCTATTTTCCTACGCACAATTAGATTATGTTCTTCACCGCCGTTTTCTTCATGTGTTTTTTGCCGCTGCGGCCCGTTCACAACACAGCGGCGTCTCCCACAATTGCGGTCCCTCCGTATTCCTCCGTCCAATCTGCAGTTAGTACGGTCTCTCCGTCTTCCTGCATCCTTCCGCGCTGCGGTTTCGCCCTGAACATCGATGATCAGCTTCCGTGCCTATTGCACCCGCACATTCCATGTCAGGCGCCTTGGCCGTGTTAAAAGTTTACGAGCTCTTGACGTACACTAACGCGAGCTAGCGTGGTCCCTCCGTCTTCCAGCGTCCTTCGGCGCAGCGATTTTGTGCTTACCACAGGTGATCACGTTCCGTACCTCATGCACCCGCATTTTCATCGCCAGGCGCTCGGGCCGCGTCAAATGCTTATGAGCGCAGCCGTACAATGACGCTATTCCTCCTAACGGGCTAAATAGGGTTCGTGCTGCCTACCCATCCACCGCTGACGATGGCAACGTTGTCTCCCGCTACACTGTGACAAAGAATCCGGCTGAGGAACAGCACACCTGTTGCGCACACATGTTGTACATGGTTACTGGAAGGGGTTAGCAGGTAATGGCAGGGTTTAACTCACATGCCATAGGCCTACCGCTCATGACTTCAACAGAAGGGCACCCTTCCCCCGCTAGCTCGTGAGGCAGCATTACACGTCGACAAGTCTGTCACATCCAGCTCTACAGCGTCCCTACCTCGGGACTTCTGTACGTCAGGCTGCTCATGATGTCGCAAACACATGCGTCCCTGTTGTGTAATTGGCATGCGCATCAGCACAACTTGCTCAACCTTCCCGCTACGTTTGGCCTGGCTTGACGCTCTCCGTTGTACGATACGCTGCCAAAACGGCGGATAGTGCCAGCTGCTTAGCTCCCTCCCACCGTCCTAGCGTCACTACGGTATCCTCTCTGAACGAAATGCACGGCCTAAACGCATCAAGACAATGCAATAGGCACGACTCTGGCACGCTCACATCGGGCTTATAGGCCCCAGTTATTATTGTAACTGACACAAGAAGACGCCTATGATGATATTCACGAGATGAGAACGAAGCGCTTGCACGCGTCAAGCCGATAGACCAGTTCAAGACCCCATACCAGCCTAGACCCAAGCACCCAAAACCCTTGGGATGTATCAGGGTCTGGCCAACGTCTCACTGTTAGGAGCGCACCAGACATGCATGGTTCGGTACCCCATGCATCATGCAAAACGACAAACAAGCTATGTACAGTGTCCAGAAACCCGTCAGCCGCTTCCTGCTATTGTCGTACTGTTGCCGTAAGACGCTTCTAAGTGGCGCCCAATATCCTGCAGTCATCTACCTCGATGACATACCTGCATACTCGCTGCCACGCCCCTGCCTTACGGCAAAAGGCTACCCTCAAAGCCAACCCGTCATGTACGCCTAGTGTCTTACATCTGAACTCCATCCTTAACCTGCGATAGCCGTTGCAGCCCGCCATCACTCCCAGCCTCGTGCAGGAACGCACCCGAACCGACCCACACGCCGCCCTCCTCCCCCCCATCCCTCCTAGCCTCCACCTCAGCGGTACTTGTCAACAAACTGCTGCAGCTCCAGGCTGCGGTTGCCGCGCATGTCCTCGTTGATGGCCCGGTCCACCATGCTGTCGTATGCATCGTCCGAGGTGCCGCGACCGGGGCCGCCGCCCGGAGTGCGCCCCTTGGCCTCCTCCAGGATGCGCCTGATGGCGTCCGTGGTCTGGTGGCCGGCAGGGAAGCCGGCGCGCAGGTAGGACTCGTTCATGGTGGGGGCCTGGCAGGGAGGGTCGTGCGAGGAGGGCAGGAAGGGGTAAGTTAGGCAGCATGCAAAACGCAATGAAGGCTTGACACGGTGGCCTTCTAGCGGCTTAACAACCCTTGCTCTCAGCCAGGCTGCAACACTCTGGTCCTCCTAACCGATGATGTCCTCTCTACTCCTGCCCCAGCGCCCCTGCGCTCCCTGGCCCTTACCTCCGGCGGCAGGTTGGTTGTGAACCAGGGGTGCCGCATGACCTCCTCCAGCGTGATGCGCTTCTTGGGGTCGGGCAGCAGCATGCGCCGCAGCAGGTCCTTGCCGGGATCCGAGATCTCCACGTGCTTGGGCAGGTCGTACCGCTGCCGGACCTGCGGGGAGGCGAACAGGCGTGAAGGGGGTTGATGCATGCGTTGATGTGGGTGGGTGAACAATGAGCAATTGTAAGGGGTCCCGCGGGCGTAGGGGCTCTCCGCTGGACGTGACCGCCCGTGTGGCATGTTCCTGTAGCCAGAAATGGCTGATCCAACTGGTTGGCTTGCATGGCTGACTTGCTGCGGCGAAAGCGCTGAAACGACGAAAGCGCTAATGCTAACTTGTTAGACCCCCAATGCTAACCCAACAAGCCCTGCGGCAAGACCTGTAACTGCCCCACCCTCCCTCAGTACGCTCTGGCAGCACAGCGCCCGTGTCCCAGCACAGCACACCCATCACGGCACCAGGCGCGCACCATGTTGTCCAGCATGGCCAGGATCTCGGTGGCCTTGGGCATGGCGGTGCCAGCGGGTGTCTCGAAGGGGTAGCGGCCGTAGAACATGACGTACAGCATGACGCCGCAGGACCAGATGTCCGCCACCTTGCCATCGTACTTGCCATCGCGATTGACCAACACCTCCGGGGCCATATACGTCAGAGTGCCCACCTGCAACAATAAGTAGGGGGGCACAGAGGGGGTCGGGAGGTTATGGTGATCTGGGTCGGTCAAGGTTTGGCATACGGGAGTGATGGAGAATGAGGAGAAACGGACATGGCTACGACCCTCAGTCTTTCACCCACCTTGCTCTTAGCTGCTGATCGCACGTCCGCTTTGCTGTATCCGAAATCGCAAATCTTTAACAATGGAAGCGGCAGGCCGTCGACCTTTTGTAGAAGCGTGTTTTCAAGCTTAATGTCGCGGTTGGCGACGCCGCGCTTATGGCAATAGTCCACACCAATTATGAGCTGCTGGAAGAACCAGCGGGCCACGGCCTCCTTGAGCCGGTTGTTTTGCTGGACGTAGTGGAACAAGCTGCCGCCCGTCGCGTACTCCATGGCAATGCATATGTACTCGGACGTGAGGAAGACCTCCTTAAACTGGATAACGTGCGGGTGCCGCAGCACGCTGTAGGGAAAGGAAATCCGGTGAGCCCATGCCCAGAGAAGACAGAACGCCACTACACTCCACATTAAAGCACCTGTGGTTTAGTATCTCGGACTCAACGTATTTGTTCACATCTCCGCGCTTTAGGAATTTGATAGCTGCAAGCTCGCCAGTCTGCAGCTTACGTCCAAGCTGCACAAAGCCGAAGGCCCCTTTCCCCAAAGATTGTACTCGTTCATAGCGGCCAGTCTCCCGCAGCGGATCCGGCTCTGGAGCTGGTGTAGCCATCAAGCGATACGGTCTCTAGACTATGTGAAGGACCGGAAGCCCGAGGGAAAAACTTGGTGCGCAGAGATGCACTCTCTCGCGCGAGCGGAGTGGGCAGAGATACTGAAGCTTTATTGGGCCCTCGTGGAGGTATATACTATTCTTTCCCTTTGATGAAGTGTTAGGCTCTTAGCTTTACAAACTGACAGCAACAGGTGCGACGGTTGGTACTGGGCCCAGAACACGAAAACGTAATGTATAGGAAATTTGTATAAGACTGGGGACCTTAACAATATAAATACGAATTCTGTACAAGCCGTTTTGTTGGCGGCCTCATGTCTTCCTCGAAGCGTCCAACGACCTTCCCGTCCTAGATCCACAGACGCAGCATGCATGCCAACGCTGTGAAAGCATATTACACAAGCTGGCTATTACTGTGGCTGAGCTGCTGCACTATACCCTGTTCAAGTGCCTCCGCGTATTGGTATTGGGATAATGCTCGTCCTCCCTATGCTGGAGCTTTACGCAGCCCCATGCATGGGGGCTGCTCCCCCTTTCACTTGCCTGGCGTTGAGGAGCAGGCCTCGTTGTGGTGGTTAGAGAAACCCAAACGCTCGCAGCATGCACTCAGCGCCAAAAGGGAAAAGGCACTTGACTTCCCCGGCTCTTGTTTCGGAGCTAAGCAGATCTGGGTCAATCGTAGGTGCGTGTAGTCATGAAGAAGTGATGCAGCCAAGCTTTTGGATGGCAGCAGCGTCAAGTGTTTTGAGCAGGACACCATGGGCAGGCGGAGAGTAGCTGGAGCAAGCAATCGGGTTGGGTATGCAGGCAAAGGGACGGGAGCAAGCACAAATCATGAGTTACACGCACTGTTATCCGGTGGTCTTGATTTACTTTGCAGACATCATGGCGTAAACGCCAAGGGCGTAAACCTGTATATGCCTCGCGTACCCCACGGTTCATGTCATGTGCCCGCCATGTCATCCTGCTCCGAAGATACAAACACCGCCTACCTATATGCTGACGCGGGTTGATATGAGCTAAGCCTCATCTATAGCATCCTGCGCAGCCCTTCTGCCTAGCCAAGCCACCGCTCTGTTTCCTGTCTACACCTACCGCCTGCAAGCTGTGACAGCCATTCCCGCGCACCCAAATAGCACTGCTTGATTGCCCTCTCCCCCGCGCCTAATCATCGCTCTCCTCCTCCTCCTCATCGTCATCATCCTCGTCATCATCTCCCTCCTCCACGTCATCTCCCTCCACCCCCTGCATCTCCTCATCCGCGTCTTCATCGCCGTCCGCATCAGCCTCGCCGTCCGTCTCCCCGTCCACAATGAAGTCGTCCAGGCTGTCAGACGAGTCCTCACCGTCCTCATCGTCCTCCGAATCCTCCTCGTCGTCCTCGTCCTCGTCGCCCTCCTCAGCGCGCAGCACGCGAGACACGTCGCGCTCCTCAAACTTGCGCAGCAGCTTGCGGCGCACACTCGGCGGGAAGGCCTCCACGATGAGGCGGCACTCATAGGGGCCTAAGGGCATGGGGTGGTAGGGGTGGATAGCGACGATGTGAGGGGATGGATTACGGAACGAGAATAAGAGCTGCGCGTAAACGGCGCCATGACAGCAGTCACATGCAGAGGTATGTCAAACCAAAGCTTCAAGCACATCCATGCACAACCACAACCACCACGCAAACCCCACCAGTCCCGAACCCTGAACCCCGTACCCAGTCCCCGCCTCCGCAAGCCCTCATCACACTCACTGAGGTCCTTGTCTTCGGAGCGGAAGTACAGTCCGGCCAGCACGTGGCGCGCGGTGACGAGGCTCACTTGCGGCAGCACCACCGTCAGGAACTCGGGCTCCCACTCGGCGCAGCACTGCACGGCGAAGCGGTGGCCGCGGGCCTCCAGCAGCCGAGCAACCTGCAGGGGAGGGAAGGAGTGCGCACGTGTTGGGGAGGGATGGGGCTTGAGGTTGCGGGTGTGAAGGAGGTTGAGGTGGAACGTGGCCAAATGTTGGGATGTGATTGGCTGTAGTAAGAGCCTTACAGGCAATGGCTGTTGCTGACAAGGTGGCTTGCCATAAGAGGTGTAGGTTAGCACGCCTACCTTCTTGAGGCGCCAGTCTCGGGCAACTGCCGCGAACCGGCTGGCATCCCACTCCTCGGTGGCCTCCAGCAGCGCCGCAACGGGCCACCGCTTCATAGCCCTGTGGCACGGAGGGGTTACGACTTACGAGTAAGCGAAGCGGCGGATAAGGTAAGAAGAGGCGAGTCAGGAGAGCCTATGACTATATGGTGTTCCAGTCAAGTGCGGCAGATCGCGCAAGTCTCAAGCTGGTTGAGGGCCAGGATCGTTCCCACCTGCTGAGCACATGCTCCGCATCTAGGCGCAAGCAGAGCTCCACAAGGCGAAGAGCGCGACGGCGCCAGCCAGTTGCGTTACCACGGACAGGCATCTGCAGGATACAAGATGTTTAGGAACCAGTGATGTCCTAACATGTGGAGGCGGGAAAGTGAGCATGCGAGGCGGTAAGGCGACAGATGTGAGCAATTGGTGTTGCATAGCGGATAGACTTGTGTTGTATGAAGGCGATGTGCGAACAGCTAAAGAGCGAACTAGAATGGGGCTGTTTAAATTTCAAATGGATCATCGCCCTGCTGCACACCGCGCAGTCCATCGCTATTTTCTATAGCACTGTCAGACATGTATCTAGTCCATTTGTTCAAATGCCACATACCTTCTAGATAAGGTGGGACCTTAGGCGCCCTTGTCGGCCAATGGAAGGCTATGTGACACAGAAATGTGAGCGCCGGCAGGAAGAGTATGCTATAAATGCATGCAGTCAGTGTGCTTTATATATGGCGCGTAAGATACTTCCAAGTTTAAATGAAACGGGGCTTATGGTAGGTAGGAACCGTCTCCGAAACCTCTGTAACCATGTAACTGCTGGCTCCGTATCCTGGTCTCGGAATAAGGTTCCTTACGGTCTATGGAGCCCATTGCATTGTGATTGGTAGAAAAACAGTAACCTGGACGCATTCGGGCAATTCACTTATTGTCTTGTAAAAAATGCTTGCTAGCGCCGTTCGGTCCTACCGGGGCTACAGCTCATTGCTGGCCGCTGCTGCTCTCACTGGATCGGCGCTTGCTGCGGTAAGATCGGGCTGGGGTACTAGCATTTTGTGGACAAGCCTCCATGATGACACTTAACTTTGTGTGGATGACGTTGCTAAGCTTCTGGGTCCGATACCCTAGATTGGGTACCCGTTAGTTCATGGTATTGCTAGGTGCGCACGTATTACTCATAGGGCGAGTCGGAACACCGTAGCCGCATGGATCTGTTGTCTGCTATTCCAAGCATCGACAGCTTTTTCTTTTATCATGACGGACGACACTATCTCTATATATGGCATGTATAATTGTGCAACTTACCAAGGCTTCGGCTTGGAACTGGTCCTGCTTGCAGACCGTCCACGCAGATGCCAGCAAGAACTCCTCTAAGACTGCGCTGGACCCCAACGAGTTCCGCGAGTTTAAGCTGAAGGAGAAGAAGCAGCTGACGCGCAACACCTACCTGTACCGGTGCGTCTCGTTATTCCGCCCCTCCACCTTCGACCTTTCCCGAAGCTAACACATCTCAGCTTTCCTCGCCCCCCCAAGCAACCCTCTTACCAGCAACTGCCTCCCAACTCTCCCCCCGTCCTCACGTCTTCCATCCTGTTTCTCCCGCCCCTCTTCCCCCAGGTTCGAGCTGCCGGAGGGCCAGACCTCGGGCATCTACACGGCCTCATGCCTGGTCACCCGGTAGGCCGCGGGGCGTGTATTGCGGGGGCAAAGTGGGGTTCAAGCGGGGGTTGGGGAGGTCTCCGCCATGGATTCAGATGGGCCCACGCTGGCACCTCGGCGCCCGCCGCTGCCCTGCTCGCCCGCTGCCTGCTGCTCTCCCGCCCGGCATGCTCCCATGGCACACGCGGGGTGCCGTGGCGCCACATACACACACCCCAACGCCCATCCGCTCCCCTCCGCGCCCCCCCCTTCAGCGCCATGCTCAAGTCCAAGCCCGAGGACGAGAAGCCCAAGCCGGTGGTGCGACCCTACACGCCCACCTCCGCCCCGGACGCCCGGGGCTACCTGGACCTAGTGGTCAAGGTGTACGACAAGGTGGGGGGCGGGGGGCCGGCGGGACGAGGCTGGTGGGGGAGGGGTGAGGGAGGCGGGGTGTGTGTTGATTGGGTGGAGGGGATGCGGGTTGCGTCCTGCTCCGTTGTCCTGAGGTTGGCTGGCGCCCCCCCCCGCCGCCTGCCATGACGTGCGCGCCCCTCCTACCGCCACCTGCCATGACGTGCGCGCCCCCCCTACCGCCACCTGCCATGACGTGCGCGGCCCCCCTACCGCCACCTGCCGCAGGGAGTGATGTCGAAGCACATCGACAGCCTCAAGGTGGGGGTGGGACCCTGGGTGGGGCAAGGGGCTAGTGGGGGTCTGGTAGGGCGGGCTGGGGTGCAGGGGTGCCGCATGCGGGGGTGCAGGCGGCCCCAGGCAGGTGGTGCAGCCAGCTCCTTTCCTCTCCCTCCCACGCCACCTCCCTCGCCCCTCCCGCCCCTCCCGCGCCCCCCCTAGGTCGGCGACACGCTGGAGATGAAGGGCCCCATCAAGAAGTACCCCTACGAGCCCAACTGCAAGAAGCACATCGGCATGGTGGCGGGCGGCACCGGCATCGCACCCATGCTGCAGGTGGGGGGGGCGGAGGGGGAGAGGGGGAGGAGGGGGGGCACGGAAGGACATTGCCTACCGGAGGAATCGCGCTCTGACCACCCCAGCTAACACTGCCGTACGTGTCCCCTCGACTGCCGTACCCCCCTGCCCGGTTAGTGGTTCCTCTCGGCTCAGTTTACCTAATCCCCTGCCCCCCCCCTCAGGTGATTGACGCCATCCTGTCCAACCCCGAGGACAAGACCCAGGTGGGGGCGGGTGGGGCTGTCCCGCGGGTGGGGGTGGGGGGGAGTGGGACACGGGCCGCTGGCGTCTGTGTGGCGTAAGAGGGAGAGGGAGGGAGGGAGGGAGTCGTGAAGCGGGTACGGGTACGGGTAGGACATCTCATGCGGCCCCTGCAAGCGGGCGCAAGCAACTGCTCATGAGACTGCATGCTCCGCACCACACCGTACCGCCCCACTAAGGGCCTGCCTGCTGCGTACCTCCTGCCAAACACATGTATGCCCGTTGCTGGGTACGAGAACTGATGTGCCCTGTCGTACCCGCCCTGCCGTACTCGCCTCCAGATCTCCCTGGTGTACGCCAACATGAGCGAGGCGGACATCATCCTCAAGGTGGGGGCGGGGGCGGGGGCCGGGGGTGGGGGGGGGGCCTTACGTGGCCGCGTGCTCCTAGGGACGGAGGGAGGCTGTGGGGAGCAGGGCGTAGCGGCAGAGAGGCTAGGAAAACGGAATGCGGCTTGCACGCAGGGCGCTTTGCCAGCATGACGTGCAGCTGTAGCGAACACCCCCCACCCTCCTTCTGCCCCTTCTCTCAACCTCCCTTCCCCAGCCCGTCCCTCCTCCAGCTTGTCTGGTTCCCCCTTTCTAACCCGCCTATCCCTTTTCCTTTTATTCCTAATTTCCCCTCTTCCCCCCACAGGACCAGCTGGACAAGCTGGCGGCCGCGCACCCGCAGCAGTTCCGCGTCTACTACGTGGTTGACAAGCCCAACTGGGGCGGCCTGTTCTGGCGCGGCGGGGTGGGCTACGTCACCCGAGACATGCTGGCGGCGCGGCTGCCGGCGCCGGGGCGCGACTCGCTGGTGATGGTGTGCGGCCCGCCGGGCATGATGACGGCGGTCAGCGGCAACAAGGCACCCAACTTCTCGCAGGTGCGGCGGGGGGGGGATAGGAAGGAGCAGGGGAGGGAGGGGAGGGAGAAGGGAGGTGTGCCGGGTGCCATGCCCGCCTGCTTGCCGCGCCCCCGTCACCGCCGGCACTGCCGCTGCGGCCCCCAGTGTCCCCGCCTCATGTGGGTCGGGCAGCCCCCCCCTGCGGAATCTTCGTCCCTATTTACCCCCTCTGTGCCCGGCTTCCGCTCTCCCACACTGCTGCTAGTCCAGTGCACCGCGGCTGACCCTAAACACCTTGACCCTAACATGCACCCCCCCCGCAGGGTGAGGTGACGGGTCTGCTCAAGGAGCTCGGCTACGACTCCTCCAATGTGTACAAGTTCTGAGGGGGGCGTGCGTGAAGGAGGCCGCAACCGCCATGCCAGCAGCAGCAGTCGTTACATGGGCATGCATGCGTGCGTGGGTCTTTGCCGCGCGGTGAGACAGGGCATGGCAGCGGCAGCGGGGTTCCCAGCGCGTGGGGGGGCTGCTGGTCCGCCCTGCACGGCTGCATGGGGCCGCTGCAAAGGGAGGCAGAGCGCGATGCGGCTGCCCCTGCTTTGCCCCCCAGCTGCGACGAGGGGGGTGCTCGGGGTGTGGCCCCCGGGTGAGCCGCACCCCATGTGCAGGTGGACGGGTCGGCGTTGGGGGCTAGGCGCCTGGGGACTGCAGTGGGCGGGTGCGGGCCCCGTGTGCACCTGCTCGTGCGCGCATGTACCCGGGTAGCATGGCATGACATCTGCAGGGGGGAGGGGCTGGGAGGTGATGTCCGGCCTGGAAAGGCTGTGACGCGCGCGTGCCGCAGCCTCAGCATGCGTCGCACATGGTAGGGTGGCATGGTGGCATGCAAGCAGGCTGGCAGGCTGGCAGGCTGGCAGGGGCACTGCTGGGTGTTGGGGTAGCACGCGGGGCGCTGCTGGTGGCCCCTGGTGCATGGCGGGGTGGAGGCATTGCCCCTGGGGCGCATTGCGCATTGCGGGGGCAGGATAGCTGGGTGCCAGTGCGGCAGCGCGGTGTGGCTTGTCTGCAGTGGGAGGACGGATGAGACGCGGAGGGGAGCAGGTGAACTGAGCCGCGGAAACACTGACCCCGATCGTAGTTCTCGCGGAAAGGAGGAACAGGCGGTACTGTGTGGGCTCAGTGTACGACATGGCAACCACCCGCATGTAAGTCAGGAGTCACCACCGCTGGATGGTTACCGCGCTTGGGGCTGCTGCCTCCTAGCGGGGCCACACCACCCGCTTCAGCGGTACCACAGCAAGTCGCTTTGGTCCCAGGATTTGGGTGCTGCTGATAACAAACGGCCGTTGCATCCTGTTATAGGGGACTGTCTCGGGCGATGGAGGACACCGGTAGCTTGCGTGGGGCGTATGGTACCGACTGCTGGAAACACACGTGCTTCTAGAACATTGAAGCGGGAGGGGTTGGAGCAAGACCAGTGGGTCGGGCAAAGCTCAAACTTTCATGAACAGGGATCGCGTCAGCTGATGATGTGTATGTATGTATCGGTTGAAGAATGGCCTGCGTTTGAATAGGCGCACAGGCCCCCTGCAATCCTGCCGGCCTGTGCTTGGCATATTGGACCAAGCACAAAAAGGGAAATCGTGGTAGGAGGGTGCTTTTTTGCTAAGTCTATTGCAACTCCTGCGTCCACGAAGTGGCATTTTGTCGCGCGGCTTGGAAAGCTAGCAGGCCTTGCTTGGAACCGGGTAGCCTGAGGACCTGCACTCTGCAGATGTTACCAGCAAGGTGCATTTCAAGTCTACGTCCTGCAACGAATGGGCTGTTCTGCAAAGCCTTAGCACAGAGCTTGTAAGATCGTCCAACTCACAACCAAAACTGTCGTACGCAAAGGGTTGCCAACAACTCGGCAAGCTACCAGGTTCTTCGTCAGTCTTCGCCGCAAGACTGTCATGTTAACAATTACGCTGAACCAACGCTGAGCCGGCAACACGGTGTGTGCCGGTCAGCAATTACTCGGAAGTTCTCGCGCTATCTCGTGCTCTGATTGAGCTAGAGTTGGTATCCGACTATTTGAGTTGACCCTTTTAACCGTAGAACGGCTTTTAGGACTCAGGCAGGGGTTGTTTGGTTAGCGGGGTTCAGCACCTTCCAGTCGGGTCTTTCTACAATTCATACGACGTCTACTTAAGAAGCTTGTTATAAGACAGTAGCGCACGGGTAGCCGCTGTGAACGAGACCTGTCGGACGCCAGCTGATCGTGGCAAAGGTTTGCAAAGATGTCAGGCGGCGGCATGAGTGTTAATAAGGACAGCCTGGTGCAGCGGCTTCAGAGTTTGAACATCAGCCAGCAGTCCATAGAGGGGACCTCAAAGTGGTGCCTCTTCTATGTCAAGGATGCTAAATCCGTGGTCAACATCTGGTTGGAGGAATTCGGCAGGGCAACTGCTGAACGGCGGGTAGCTTTCCTCTACCTTGCAAATCACATTCTCCAGGTAAGCTGGGCAAACCATGCCATCGAAATCAGCCGGACTTAGCACTTTCACACATGCGGCCTGTTTTCCCTTCTCCTCCTTGTCCTATTTCACTTTGGGTATGATACGACGGGTAGAACGGGTAATCCTCCTGAATATTTAGGCTAGGCATGCACGGATCGGAACCACAGTCCCGGACCCTTGCCTGTCGAGGCAAGGATGTACCTCCATGCCGTGTGCGTCCTTCTCCTCAATCCTCTACCACCGCCCTCCACCGTCTCCAGGAGGGCCGCAAGAAGGGTCGCGAGTTCGCTGACGAATTCTTCCGCGTCATGCCACGTGCGCTCTCCTCCGCCGCCCGCTCCTCGGATACCAAGCTGCGTACCTCGGCTAAGCGGCTGGTGGACATCTGGGACGAGCGCAAGGTGCGACCGGAGTGCGCACACGGCTGCTATCCTGTGTGTGCGGCCCCCGCCACCGCACCCTGCGCGTACCTGACGACCCCTCCTTATGCAGCCCTGGATGTCCTCCGCCGCCCCTCCCGCTGCCAGCCTTCCTCGTTACACCCCTCCCTCTCTCCCTCGCGCCCCTCCCCTCAGGTTTTCGGCTCCTCGCAGGTCCGTGTGCTCAAGGAGCACCTCAGCGGCGCCGCGGCGGGGGGCGGCAGCGGAGGAGCCACACCGGGCAAGACACAGGGAGCGGCAGGCGGTGGCGGTGCTGGGTCCGCAGCAGCAGCAGCGGGGGGCGGTGGCGGCGCTGCTGCGGATGGCGGCGGTGCGGGCGGCAGCTACCTGGACCGCCGCAAGCTCGCTGCGGTGGGCAGTCTGGCGGATGTGCTGTACGAGGTGGCGAATGCGGCGGCGCGGAGCAGCGAGTGGCAGACCAAGTGCCTGCAAGTCAAGGCGGTGAGGACTGGGCGAGGAGGGGGGACGGGGCGGGTTTAGGCAGCGGTGGTCGTTGAAGGCTGCTGCTCGCATGCTCACGCTGGCACATGCCTGCCCCGCCGCACTCTCACCCCTCCACTGCACCCGCCTGCCCGCCTTCCTCCATGACGGCAGCTGGTGTCCTCCCCCGACGCGGCGCTGTCTGAGCTGGCCGCCGCCCGCGACACGCTGGTCACCACCCTGGAGGCGCTGCGGGCGGAGGCGGAGCGGCGCAAGAAGGCGGTCACCTACATCCGCATGCACCTCTCGCAGCAGGTGGGGAGGGGGAGGGGGAGGGGGAGGGAAGGGGCAGCGGAGCGGTGTTGGCGGTGTTGGCAGGGTTGATGATCCGGGGTCGTTGCGAAGCGCTCAGCCAGGGAAACATGGGGCTTGCCGCTGAGTGAGCGCATGCAATGTTGCATTGTAACACGAGATGCAAACCGACGACCCACCTCGACCCGCCTCCCTCCCAACCGCTGCTTCAACCACCACTTGGCTCGACTCACGGTTGTTTCCACCAGGGCTTGGTCAGCTACATGTACCACTATCACAACACACATTGGAATTTCTTTTTTCCCCACCGTTGCTGTCCTGCCGGCCCCCGCAGGAGGACAGCCTGAAGCGCACCGAGGAGGCGACTGCTGCCCTGGCTGCGCAGAGGAGCGAGCTGGAGGAGCGGCACGCGGCGCTGCAGCAGCAGCAGGTGCGGGGGGGGAGCGGTGGTTGGGTGGGGTGTTGGGGGCGGGGGGGGGGCGGGGGAGGTGTGGCGGTGTTTAGCGTAGCTGGGGGCAGCGGCAGCAGCTGTTGTTGAGGGCAGCTGCTGCATGCGTGCTGTGTGGTGGCGGTTAGGTGGGGTGTGGTGATCATGCAACCTTGCAAGGGTGCTCCTCCCTCCCTGTCTGACGCCTGTTGCGCACGGATGCCGCCCCGCAGGAGCAGGAGAAGCAGCAGCGAGAGCGGGAGGAAGCGCTGAAGCAGCAACAACAGCAACAGGAGCTATTGCAACAGCAGCAGCAGCAGGAGCAACAGCAGCAGCAGCAACTGCAACAGCAACAGCAACTGCAGCAGCAGCAACTACAGCAGCAGCAACAACAACAGCAGCAGCAGGCGGGCATGGGAGGCATGGGGCCGGATGCGGCAGCTTTCCTGGGAATGCCGCAGCCGGTAAGCCGGACGGGCCATCTCGATAAGGGACTTATCGGCCGTGTGCCACCGCGGGTGCCTCCTTGGGCATCTGCCTTACTCCACACCATCCTCTGAGTTCCATCGCCGTGCACTTACCCCTTCACCTTTCCCCCGCGCCCCCCACCCCCTCAGGGCGGCCTCCCCGGCATGCCCCCCATGATGCCGCCCTTCCCGCTCCCCGGCATGGACCCGCACGCTCCTCCCTTCGGGCTGCCGGGCATGCCGCCCTTCCCCGCGGCGCTGCTGGGGCCCCCGGGCGCCATGAACCCGCTGGCCGGCCTGCCGCCGGGCATGAACCCGCTCGGCCTGCCGCCATTCCCGATGGGACCCATGCCCGGCATGAACCTCCCGCACGGCATGAACCCCATGGGACCCGGCGGGCCGTTGAACCCCATGGGCATGGGTGGCGGGGCGCCTGGGGGAGGGCCACATGGGGGCCCGCCCGGAGGCGGCGGCGGACCCATGGGTCAGTTGGGTGGCTTGCCGGATCTAGCAGGCGCACTGTCGGCGTTGAGCGCATCCGGCTTCGGAGGGCAGGGAGGGGATCCGCATGCGCATGCTAACGGCGGGGCGGGTGCCGGCCTGCAGTCGCAGTCCTCGGGCGCACCGCCCGGGTCCGCATCACAGCAGCAGCAGCACCCACCTCAGCAGCAGCAGCACCCACCTCAGCAGCAGCAGCATGCAGGCCCCCCAGGAGGGCCGCACCACCAGCAGCAGCACCAGCAGCAGCATCCGCCCCACCCGCACCCAGGGGGAGGAGGTCCCGGCGCCCCGCCCGGGTCCATGCATCCCCCGCCGCCCCACCACCCACCCCCCGGCGGCCCCGCCCCTTCCCCCGGCCAAGGTGCCAGCTCGGCTGGCGGCCAGCAGCTGCCCTCGCACCCCTCCGGTGGCCTCCCGCCCCTCCCGCACCCTCACCCGCCGCCGCACCCACACAACCCGCACCTCCCGCACCCTCACCCCTCGCCGCACCCGCAACCACATGGCACCCCGGGAGGGGGAGGCGGAGGACCGCCCCCAGGCGGGGCGGGTCCAGGCCCCGGCAGCAGCAGCGGTGGAGGCGGAGGTGGCGGCGGGGCGCCTGCACTCGACCCGGCGGGTATCGACCAGCTGGCTGCGGCGCTTGCGACCAACAGCGACCAGACGGCGATGCTGCTGGCGAATGCCTTTGCGAGCATGAGCCAGGTGAGCGGGAGGGGGGGGAGGGCAGGGAGGCAGGCGGAGGGGCAGGAGGGGCTGTGACCTGTGAGGGGCTCTTGGGTTTCGTGTCCACCCTTCTTGATGATTTTGCACACCTTTCACAGAACCGCCCCTCCTGTCCTCGCTCCCCCATACATCCGCTCCCCCAGGAGGAACGCGACCGATTGGGCGCCAACCTGGGGGACATGCTGGGCGGCGGAGGTGGAGGCGCACCGGGCGGCATGCAGCAGCCGCCCCCGCACCTGCAGCCCCCTGCCGGCCCCCCGCACCCACCCCTGCAGCAGCCACACCCGCATGCGGGGCAGCCGGGCATGGGCGCGGCTGACCCCATGGGGCTAGCAGCGGCTGGCGGGGGCGGGGGCTACGGCGGGAGTCCCATGGCAAATGGCGGCGACGACGGGATGGATGCGCCGTACGACCCGGAGTATCCGGATTAGGCAGCGAAAGAGAGAAGGGGGAGGGGAAGTGGGTTACTTGATGAGTGGTTGGCCCTGACGTGATGTGCATAGCTGGGGTTGCATGGGGGGGTGCATAGCTTGGCTGCTTGGACTGGATGGCGATTGTTGTCAGTAGGGAGGGCTCAATGCTGGCTGTGGGGTTTGTACTGCTGACCAGTAACGTGTGCTTGGGTTTGGTCCGGGGGGGTTTCTAGGAGGCCTAGGAGGAGGATGGCAGGGAGGACGAAAGCGGCAGGAGGGAGGGTGACAGGCCCTGTGACGCCTTCCCTCGGGAGGTTGGGCAGCACTGCATTGCGGTAGAGCTTGGCCTGCGAATAACGGACGCGGAGGGCCTTCTTGGGATCAGGCATCTCGGTGGCGGTGTCTCTGCAGGGAGTTACCCTTTACGCACGCAAGCAAGCGGTTGACCAGCCTCGCTGTGTGTATATGTGTTCGTGTTTGCGATCGCCGAGAGCAATATGTTTGACATACTCGACTGTGCATGTGCGCCGGTGTGCGGCTGGGGTTTCAGATGCTGCTGCTGCCACTCCGCGTCAACTAGCATCGGGCGTCAACGGCCTGATACACGTTGGTGGATAGGCGTTGTAACTGCCGCGAGTGGGTGCCGACTCATGTTACAAATTGTAAGGGTGGCCCGAGCAGACAAAGCGGTGTTGCGGGCATAACCGCACTACTTCTTACCATAGCAGGGCTGCTTCTGCACCTCGTCCTTGCGTTGCCTATGTTACTATAGTATCCAGCCGGAAGCAAACACCGCAGGGTGCTAGGCCAGGCGCCGGCGCAACAAGTCCAAAGCAACTTGCCAACTCAATAAACTCCCGCCAACTTACAGCGAGCCCCACCTGCAACAAGTATATAATAAGAGAACGTGTACTGCATCATCAACGGTTCCTGCTTGTCAACTCGCGCCGTGCATGACTGGGCGTACCGCCGCTCCCACACCAGCCTAGTCAGTCATGCGGCTCGGCTTGCTGCCGGGCCGCCGCGCAGGGCCCTCGAGCCGCCAGTCGTGCATGCCGGCCTCCGCCACGTCATGGCAGGGCCCTGCTGACCTCAGACCCGCCACTCACCGGGGGGGGGTGTTGCTCCGAGTGGGCGGCGCCGGCAACTGCAATGCGGCGCTCCTGTTGCTGCTGTGACAGGCAGTTGTGGTGACTGGCGAGGTGTTGCCGGTGTCAGCGGTCGTGCTTCTTGTTGTACACCGTCACGTACTTTGCGGTCTGGCCGCCAACCTGACGTGGCGCATGCGAGCAAGAGGAGGAGGGAGAGGGAAGGAAGAAAGCAACAAGGAGAAGCGGCCAGGCGGCGATGGTGGAGGATGTGTGGTGTGCCGCGGGCAGGCACACAAGCGGGAATCAAGGAGCAGCAAACGCCATGGTCTCAGGAAGGCTCCGGCACATCCGTACAGTCGTACAGCCAGGCCTCATGTCGTACCTGAAGTACGGACTCAATGTGCAGCTCGTCCTCCGAGACGAGTCGGAAGTAGTCGGTGCCGCGACCGCCCCACGGGTCGCTCCTGCCGCGGGTGGTGGTGGCAGCGGGGTGGGGCAAGACACGTGATGGCGGGCGGTGGGGACACGTGGGAGGACACCCGGGTGGGGGGGTGGGGCGGACCGGGCGGGGGCTGCGGAGCACACGAGCATGCAGCAGGGGGACGTCACCCGGCCGCCTGGGGCATGCCACGTGAGGTACTTGTACGGCACTGCCCAAACCCATTTCTACACCCTCATCACCTCCCCTGCACCTCCGCCCTCAACCTCAACTTCGCCCCTGCCCGCTGCCCCAACCACCAACCCCACCACCCCCGCTGCCCCCACCCACCACCGCTGCTGGATCTGCAGGCTGGGCCCCAGCGGCTCCACCCAGCCCTGCGCCCCGCCTGCATGCAGGCGCGGACATGCGGGCTTAGCTGTGTTACCGATAACACATGTGGGGCGTCATGTGGGTTTGGCAACCGTCAGGTAAGGAAAGCAAGCAAACAAGCTACACAGGCGCATGACACACGCTCACACCCCACACCGTGTGTGTTTGCACCACCCGCACCTCTCCGCAGGTCCCTCCGGCGGTGGCGCCGCGGCTCGCCGCTGAGCGGGTAGACCTCCTTGACCTGCGGCGGGTGGGGGGGGAGAGCGGGGCGGGGGGAAGGACATGGAAGGAGAGGGAGGGAAGGAGGGCAGGCGGGTGGGAGCTCAGCGGTGAAGCTTCGAGAGAGGAGCCGAGGAGGGACGGTGCGGCATCAGCAGCAAAGGTATGGATCCAGGATGTCTTCCCTGCCGTACCACGCCGCCGTACCTACCTTGAACCACGACACCACGCTGAAGACTGCGAAGATGAAGGTCTCCGAGTCATGCTCGATGCGCACCCCCCGCACCAGCTTTACCGCCTGGGGTTATTACGGCAAACGGGCGGGGCGGTTGCGTGCGCCAAAGGTAAGAGGTATCGCTAGGCTGGCACCGGTAGACATTTCCTCTAGGGCGTCATGAAGCCCATAAGGCCCTTCCGAAAGAGGTGACCCACGGGTCTTTTCCCACCTGCCCACCTGCCGTACGGGCACCCCACCTGCCGTACGAGGCCGTTGAGGTGCACCATGTCCAGTGCGGCCTCCATGCTGCCCGACCTCTCGCGGTCCTGAGAGTGCGTGTGGAGAGGCGGGAAAGGCGGGTGAGGCGGTAGGAGGGAGAGAACGACGGCGTGTAAGAGCAGGAGAGGAGGAGGTGGTTGTGCAAACAGTGTCTATCCGCGCCTCACCCTCTTCCCCGCACCTCACCTTGACCCAAGTGCCTGACAAGCCCTGCAACCGCCGCCGCCACTGCTGCTGCTGCTGCTGCTGCTCACTGCCCTCCGCTCCTGCACCCCTTCCTTGCCGCTGCCGCTCCTCCCGCTGACCTTCCCGCTGCCCCTCCCGCTGCCGCAGCTCCTTGCAGCAGCTTCGGAGACCCCCACCAGCCTCCGCCCTCGCCTCCGCCGCCCTCGCCTCCGCCAGGCCGCTGACTAGCAGCATGCTAGCGAGCGGGGGAGGCGGCCCGCCACTGCCGCCACATCGCCCTCCGAGCCAGCCGAACACCAGGTTGGGTGGCTGCTGAGGTGCCTGTGGGGGGAGGCGGGTAGGTGAGGACGTGTCGGGAACTGGGAAGCGCGGATGGTGAGCGATGGCCTAGCCAAGTCACGCCCCGACGTTTCAATGTGGCTGTCCAAAGCGTCTACTTTGGACAGCATACATCCAATTTAATTAGGAGAATAGGTAGTGAGCGAGGAGGTCCCAGACCTAACTTTAATCGCACCTGCAGTTGGAATTGCAGACAGCCAGAGCCGGCCCCAAGCATCATTGCAGGTGGCGCCTGATAGTCCTACGCGTGATAAATACTTGGATGCCCTGGCAGCTCTGTTACTGCCTCCAGGCGAGCGCGAGCGTCGGAAACACTTCCGTCTTCATCGAGCCGGGACGACAGCTAAGATAGATTAATATGACAACCCAAATATACAGACAAAGACGCGGATGTGTAAAATTGTGCAGCGAGCTAGTTAGTCGGTAGAAACAGTAAGGACCCAAGCCAACGGTCATTTTCGCGCTGGTCTCGGAGCCAGGCTTGAAGCTCTGCAGCGCTCGTTCCGTATGGACGCCTAAACCATGATATCCCAGCCTAGGACACCCGCTTTGAGGCTTCCCAAACCGTCATTGCTGCCAACACAGAAGATCCGTGCCAGCAGGCGCTCACAGTCTGTGCAAGTCCGCTGCGCAGTAATGCCCACTCCACCTCCATGGATGGGCAATGCTGCATTGGCTGTAGTAGCTGCAACCATCTCATATGCCTGTTATAAGCTCGTCCGCCTAGCGTTTGCAGATGCGGACCTTTACCTGCTAAGCTTAGGGAAACACCGAGCAAACGCATATAGGGACAAAGTTATATGGATTACTGGTGCAAGCCAAGGCCTAGGCGCAGTACTTGCAAAGTACTTTGCCGGCTTCGGTGCCCGCATCATCCTCAGCTCGCGGGACGCAGCAAAGCTGGAAGGCGTCAAGGCATCGCTTGGGCTCCCGGACGAGCGAGTCCTGGTGCTGCCGTTCGACCTCTGCAGCGATTACTCGGAGCTGGAGAAAGCAGCAGCAGCAGCGGACCAGGCGTTCAATGGGGCGGGAATCGACTACCTCGTCCACAATGCAGGTGGGCCCGAGTCGTAAAGGGACAATGGACCAGGCACCGCTATGTCCTGAAGACGCCTTTGCTTCGTCCACACGTCTTTCCCTTCCACCTTGTCACCCTTCCATCCCTCATGCTCCTCCTCCTCCTTGCCCCCCCCACCCCGCAGGCGCCAGCCAGCACGCGCTCGCCTCCGAAACCAGTGCCCAGGTTACCGACCAGCTGATGCAGCTCAACGCGCTGGGGCCCATCAAGCTAACCCGCGCCGTACTACCGTATATGCTGCAACGTAACCGCGGGCGGTTGGTGGTGGTTGGCTCCATGAGCTCCAAACTGCCCAGCCCCGGTCAGGCGGTGTACGCGGCGGCTAAGATGGCGCTGTACGGCTACTTCTCCTCCCTGGCCACCGAGCTAGCGGACACGTGGGTAGCGGGGAGGGGAAGAGTTACCGTACTTCAGCGGGGAGGAGTTACCGTACTTCACCTACATGGCGTCGTTACCGCCCTGCCACTGCCGTACATTGCCGCCCCTCGCTACCTCACCTCCCACCTCGCACCCACCCCTCCTCCTCCGCCTCCTCCACCCCAACTCCCTGCTCCCCTCTCCTCCCCCACCTCGCAGCGGTGTGGGTGTCACCCTCTGCTGCCCCGGCCCGCTGGCCACTGGTTCAGAGGAGGCCCCCCGAGTGGTGTTCGGACCCACGGGTCGCATCGTGCAGAACGCCACCGGCGCCGCCAACCGCCTGGAGCCGGGGCGAGCCGCGCAGCTGATCGCCGCTGCGGCGGCTCACGGACTGGACGAGGTGTGGATCGCGCGGCACCCGGTGCTGGCGGTTGGTGAGTGTTGTGGCAGGGAGGGGAAGGGGGGGAAGGAAGGGGCTGTTGCGGCTGTTGATGTGGTGACATGGGTAACATGGGTGACGTGCCCGGTTGCAGATGTGACGTGGTTGGGTGTGATGGTCCCCTGACCATTGCTCGACGTTCTGTCGTTCCGTCAACCTTCCACGTGTCGATTTGTCCCTGACCAACCACCAACCCCTTCCCCCCCCCCACGGCTGACCCCCCGAACCGTCTCGCAGGCTACATCTTCCAGCTGCTGCCCCGACTGGGTTGGCGGCTGCTCAAGAAGGTAGGCCCCAAGCGGGCTCGGGCGGTGCAGGCGGGCAGGAGCGGCTACGACGTGGGAAAACTGATGCGGGCGACGTGAGTGAGGGCACGTGAGGGGCCGCGACGGCTCGAGCGACGGCACGCGGTCGCTTGGTGGCAGAGCTTGACGAGACCGCATGGCCCTTGGGGTTGGCGGCAGGGTTTGCTAGGCCCGTGGGAGCTAGCAACTTAACCTTACGGAGAGCTAGCGCGATGCGGGGGCCAGGAGGCACTCCGGTGCGGGGCCCGTGCGGAGTGATGCTAGCAAGGGGCGCGTGTGGAAGGGGCGTCCGAGCGCACGGGAGCGCCTGCGGGGGAGGGGGGGCAAGGAGGGGCTTGCAGTGCATGCGGACCGGCAGTAGCGGTGCGTTATCTGAGGCCCCCCTGGCCGGTTCATGTCAGCCTTACAGTGTTGCAGGTTCATGCACTCATGCGTACCGGTATACGCCGCAAGGCGTGTGTTGAGGAGGGGAGAGGTGCACACCGCAGCAGGTGTGTATATGCGCAGGCAGGGTGTACGGGGTTACGTACACGGTTGTGAGAGAGGTGTTGGAGTTGGCTGCGGGTACCTTCATACCCACGAACAGCGGTTCCTCGTCGGTCCAGCTGTCCTGCCGGTGTTTATTATTGTTGGGCTGTGCGACAAAGCGCTTTAGCCGGGAGCGCTGTTGCCTCGCCAACCACTGCACCGTGGCCGTACACTCCTCAGTAACTCACGAAGCATTGGTCTTCTTTCCTTGCACGTCTGGAAAGCCATCCACGCGTCTCATCATGCAGCTGGGAGCGTAGGTTGCCTGAAGAGTAGAAGTGGAGGAAGGGAGGGAGCTTTCAGGTACGACATATCACGGCACAGCAAACGGAGGATTGCTGCTACAGCTTAAGAATGATGCGGGCATTCGACCTACCAGACATCGTATATTTGAAGATAACATAGAACTTTAGTATGGAGCAGTTTAACGGGCATAAAAACGCTTTTCAACGTTTGCAAGGATAAGAGGTTGTCGACTCGTCTCTTTACGTGCACCCTTATAAACGACCTACTCGAAACTATGCAATTAGATTAACGCAAATGAACTTACAACAGAACGGGGCCGGTCGCGGTGCCGCGACTTCACAGCTGCGGCCATGCGCCCCGCGCGCAGTCCGAACCATTCTGCGCGCAAGTGTGGGCCCCGAAATCGCTCGCAATGTCATCACCTCGCCTCTTAACTGTACACATAATCATTTTTACGTCAGTTTTCATCACCTCGACGGCAATTCCCGGCACCGGCACTCGCCCCTGTCTTCTGCTTTCGGTGGCCGTGGCGGCGAGGTTGGTGTTACTGCTGAAGGCACCACGGACGGCGCTGAAGGCGCTCCTGCAGGTGGCGGGGAATGCAGCAGTGGAAGAGGCAGCCGCAGCCATGACATTGAGACCGACGATGACGACAGCTTCAACGGCTGCAGCGGCGGCAGCCAGGAGGGCCCGGACGCCGGCAGGACCAGCTGCCAGGAGCCGCCCCTACCCGACCTGCGCAGCTGCCGCCACTTCGTGAACCTGACCAACGGCATCGAGGCGCTCCCCATGCTGCATGAGCTGCAGCTGCCGTACAGGTGGGGTGGGAGGGGAGGGAGATGAGGGGGATGAGGGCTGGGGCTCCTGGTGGCGTGAAGGCATGTTAGCCGGCGCGATGACTGATGTGGCACGACGCATTCGGAGTGGAAGGAGAGCTGGGGAAAGCTGGGGCAAGGAGCCGCTGTCACAGCTGGGGCAATAGCCTAGCCCCCTTGCGAGGCCTTGACGTCTCCTCCCGCTTGCAACTTGTGTGCGCCTTAAGGAAACTTGCCGCGCTGTGTGTTGAGGAAACTGGCCGCGCTGTGTGCTTGCGTGCGCAGTTTCGTGCGGATCCAGAGCACCGCCTGCGAGCAGCAGCACCTCGAGGTGAGCTGACGCCTGGGCACCTGACGCAACGTAACGTACACTGCGAGTCCTTAGCTTGAGACCCTGCGGTCCCCGCCAGCATTCGGCGTCACAGCGGCTCTGTCGGGGTATGAGCCGCCTCCTGCTCGCCCCCTGTGCCCGCCAGGCCCTCATGAACGAGCTGGACCCCAGCTTGCTGCTCAGCCTGGCACTCGGACACTGGTGCGTGAGTCTGGTTGGGTGGGGCAACAGCATGGGTGGCTGGCTGGGTGTTGAGCGTTTGGTGGGGACTGGGTGGTGGTTGGGGACTGCAGCCGCCTGAGGAGCCCGTCAGGGGCCTTGCTTGGACGTCCTGGGGGCTCTTCCGCCCCTTGCATGAAACACAGCCCCACCACTATTACCGCTTATCTCTGCTCATCCCTTACTGCGCATGTAACTTCTCATCCCTTACTGCGCATGTAACGTATCGTACCGCATGCATGTACGTCTTACTGCTGGGGCTTGGGCGGCAGCTGTCTGGTGTACGACTGCGGCAGCCGGGGACGTGACGGCACTCCGAGGGCCCTGTGGTACGGCCTCGAGTTCGTACGCTACACGCTGACAAAGGTAAGAACTGCCTCGCGTCCTAGGAAGTTCGTACGCACGTCATTAGCCCTTGAACCTGCATGTGTTTTGGAAAGTGAACCCGCTTTATTTTCCAATGGAATCTTGCCCTTAGTTCAATTAAAGTACAGGCTCACCGGCTGCTACTGATACACGCTCCCTGCCTGCCCGCCCGCCTGCTCCCCTGCCTGCCTGCCTGCCCACCCGTCTTCTTCCCGCAGCTGTGGTTCCGGCGCTCCAGCCCGGCGCTGCTCCGCGGCAAGAACGTGGCTCGCACCTTCGATGCGCACATCCGCTCCTTCCGGCAAACCACCAAACGAAGACTGCAGGTGAGAGGGCTTGGGCCTTGGCGAGGGAGGAAGACATCTAGGGAAGCTAACACGCTTGTTGTGCCTGCCAATGCCACTTTGACCCTGAACGAGCCCCAGAACCAGCCCCGCCCTTCCGTACCCACCCCACCCCACCCCGCTCTCCCAACCCCCAGTACTACGCCAAGTACATCCCTCCTGCTGCTGCTGCTCCTGCCAGCGAGGTCAGCACCGACTGCAGCAGTGAAGGCGGCACCAGCAGCAACGGCCCCGGCGGCCTGCAGCAGCTGCGACTCTACGGCGTCTACCGACCCACGGACCACGACACAAACACCGCCTTCTTTGTCGGCATGCTACACGGCTATCAGCTGCTGCGACCACCGCACGCAGAGCGGTCGCAACCACAACAGCAGCAAGCCTCTGAGGGCCTGTCACTACAACCTAATGGGGGCCTGTTGCTCCCTCCGCACGCGTTGCCACCACAGTTGCAGCCGCCTCACCCCTTGCAGCAGCTACAGACGCATCCTCCCTCTGAGGGCCCGCAGCAACATTCATCAGAGCATGAGCCGCAACAACACCAGGAGCAACACCAGCAGCAGCAGCAGCGGTTGCAGGAGCAGCAACACCAACCGCTGCAGCACATTCGGAAGGACAAGGATAGGTGGGGTAGCGACGGGTCGCAGGCGCGGGGCCTCTGGCTGAGTGCGGAGGAGGAGGGGCAGGGGCATGGGGGTGAGAAGGAGGAGGAGGACGCGGAGGTGTTGTTGGGGCGGTACGGCTTCCGGCTGTTCCGGAGGGGCCTCTCCCCCGCCGAGTGGACGGCACTGATGCAGCAGCAGGCCGCGGGGAGCCCCACCTAGATACCGGTAGGCGATGCTGGGCCCCGGTGTGGTGCTTGATTGTCCAGCATTGCTGCTGCTGCTGTTGCTCTTACTGGGCAATTGCTGTTGCTGCTGCCTTTGGTACGTTCGTGCCCACATCACTGGTACGGACACCCTTTGGTGGCGTTTGGCGGCATTACTGGCGGGGGACGTCGAGCGACGTGTCATGAGGGCTGTGTCAGCTTGCGGAAAGCGTTGTGGGTTGTTGCAGGGAAGACCATACGTGGGTTGCATCCATGTGTGATGTAATGTGGTGATACATGGTGGGGGCGATGTGTATGAAGGCAAAGCACCGACCATGTATGAGGTGTAAACGAGCCGGAGACCCATGCACCTGATGCGAAAGTCACTTGAAATACATGTGCAGCTGAAAAGTCGCAGCTACAGACCGTTCCGCTTCTTGATACCAACGGCACCAAAACCCTGCATATGGTACCGGTATTCACCTCCCTACAAGGTGTGTGTCAATAAACCTCACTGACACCGGGGCGTGCAAGGTAAAGGGAGCGTACCTGTAACCACCTGCGCGTACATTACCACCCTCCAAGTGCAGCGCCACCTCCGCCGCCAGGGCTGCTTGTTGTTGCTGCTGCCATGGTTGGGAGGTGGGTCTGCTGGGAGCACTGCGGGGCCGCTGGCGTAGTCGCTGGGCTGCTGCCGCCACTCCCCGCTCCTCCTCCTCCTCCTCCTGGCGCCGCCGCTGCTGTTGTTGCTGCCAGAGGTTGTTGCTTGCTGCCGTACGCTGCTAGGAAGACGAGCCGGCCTGGGACGGGTGGCCTGGGAAAGCGTAATCCGTCCTCTGGGCGCCTGAGCAGGGCTATTAGTGCATGGTCCTACCCAAGCAATGTCTAAGACCGCTTGGGAATGACATGCATGGCTTGGGAAAGGCTAATCCACATCCGGGCTCCAGGGAAGGCCTGGGGTCCACTCTGGGGATGCCTAGGGCCGCTTGGGAATGACATGCGCGGCTTGGGAAAGATGTTTCCACCTCCGGGCGCCTGGACAGGGCTCGCATTGCATGGGTCTACCCTTGGAATGCATAGGGCTGCTTGGGAATGGCATGGGTGGCTTGGGAAAATGTTGTCCCACCCCCGGGCGATCGTGCAGGGCTCGCATAGCATGGGTCCACACTGGGAAAGCCTAGGGCCACTTGGGTATGACATGGGTGGCTTGGAAAAGACTTATCCATCTCTGGGCACCAAAGCAGGGTTAACATTGCATGGGTCCACCCTGGGAATGCATAGTGCTGCTTGGGAATGACGTGCGTGGCTTGAGAGAGATAACGCCACCCTCCGGGTGCCTGAGCAGGGCTGTACGTGCATGGGCCCACCCAATAAATGTCTAGGACCGCTTGGGAATGACATGCATGTCTTGGGAAAGACTAATTCGCATTCGGGCTCCAGGGAAGGCCTTGGGTCCACCCCGGGAAAGCCTTGGGCAGCTTGGAAATGACACACGTGGCTTGGAAAAGACAACGGCACCCTCCGGGCGCCAGGGCAAGGGTAGTGTTGCATGTATCCACACTGGGAAAGCAAGGGGCCGCCTGGGGTGGCTTGGGAAAGACGTTTCCTCCTCCTGTCGCCTTGGCAGGGCTCGCATTGCGTGGGTCCACATCGGGAACGCCTATAGGGCCGCCTGGGAATGGGACGGGTGGCCTGGGAAAGAGTAACCCACCCTCCGGGCGCCTGAGCAGGGCTAGCAGTGCAGGGGTCCATCCTTGGAATGCCTAGGCCCGCTTGGGAAAGACATGCGTGGCTTGGGAAAGAGTAATCCACCTCCGTGCTCCAGGGGAAGCCTTGGGTCCACCATGGGATTTCCTCGGACCGCTTGGGAATGACATGCGTGGCTTGGGAAAGATTAATCCACCTCTGTGCGCCAGGGAGGTCTCGCTTTGCATGGGTCCCCACTGGGAATGCCTAGGGCCGCCTGGGGTGGCTTGGGGAAGACATTTCCTCCTCCGGTCGCTTGGGCAGGGCTTGCATTGCGTGGGTCCACATCGGGAATGCCTGGAGCCGCCTGGGAATGGGACGGACGGCCTGGGAAAGAGTAATCCACCCTCTGGAGGCCTGAGCAGGGCTTGCAGTGCATGGGTCCACACTGAAATTGCCTAGGATCGCTTGGGTATGGCCTGAGTGGCCTGGGAAAGGGTAACCCACCATTCGGGCGCCTGAGCAGGGCCCGCTTTGCATGGGTCCCCACTGGGAATGCCTAGGGCCGCCGCTTGGGAATGGCCTGCTGGGTGGTCTGGGAAAGGGTATCCCACTCTCCGGGCGCCTGAGCAGGGCTATAAGTGCATGGTCCCACCCAAGCAATGTCTAGGACCGCTTGGGAATGATGTGCATGGCTTGGGAAAGGCTAATCCACATCCGGGCTCCAGGGAAGGCCTGGGGTCCACCCTGGGAATGCCTTGGGCCGCTTGGGAATGGTCTGAATGGCCTGGGAAAGGCTAACCCACCCTCCGGGCGCCTGAGCAGGGCTAGAGTGCATGGGTCCCCACTGGAATTGCCTGGGATCGCTTGGGTATGGCCTGAGTGGCCTGGGAAAGGGTAACCCACCATTCGGGCGCCTGAGCAGGGCCCGCTTTGCATGGGTCCCCACTGGGAATGCCTAGGGCCGCCGCTTGGGAATGGCCTGCTGGGTGGTCTGGGAAAGGGTATCCCACCCTCCGGGCGCCTGAGACGGGCTATAAGTGCATGGTCCCACCCAACCAATGTCTAGGACCGCTTGGGAATGATGTGCATGGCTTGGGAAAGGCTAAACCACATCCGGGCTCCAGGGAAGGCCTGGGGTCCACCCTGGGAATGCCTTGGGCCGCTTGGGAATGGTCTGAATGGCCTGGGAAAGGCTAACCCACCCTCCGGGCGCCTGAGCAGGGCTAGCAGTGCATGGGTCCCCACTGGAATTGCCTGGGATCGCTTGGGAATGGCCTGAGTGGCCTGGGAAAGCGTAATCCGTCCTCTGGGCGCCTGAGCAGGGCTATTAGTGCATGGTCCTACCCAAGCAATGTCTAAGACCGCTTGGGAATGACATGCATGGCTTGGGAAAGGCTACTCCACATCCGGGCTCCAGGGAAGGCCTGGGGTCCACTCTGGGGATGCCTAGGGCCGCTTGGGAATGACATGCGCGGCTTGGGAAAGATGTTTCCACCTCCGGGCGCCTGGACAGGGCTCGCATTGCATGGGTCTACCCTTGGAATGCATAGGGCTGCTTGGGAATGGCATGGGTGGCTTACTTGGGAAAATGTTGTCCCACCCCCGGGCGATCGTGCAGGGCTCGCATAGCATGGGTCCACACTGGGAAAGCCTAGGGCCACTTGGGTATGACATGGGTGGCTTGGAAAAGACTTATCCATCTCTGGGCACCAAAGCAGGGTTAACATTGCATGGGCCCACCCAATAAATGTCTAGGACCGCTTGGGAATGACATGCATGTCTTGGGAAAGACTAATTCGCATTCGGGCTCCAGGGAAGGCCTTGGGTCCACCCTGGGAAAGCCTTGGGCAGCTTGGAAATGACACACGTGGCTTGGAAAAGACAACGGCACCCTCCGGGCGCCAGGGCAAGGGTAGTGTTGCATGTATCCACACTGGGAAAGCCAGGGGCCGCCTGGGGTGGCTTGGGAAAGACGTTTCCTCCTCCTGTCGCCTTGGCAGGGCTCGCATTGAGTGGGTCCACATCGGGAACGCCTATAGGGCCGCCTGGGAATGGGACGGGTGGCCTGGGAAAGAGTAACCCACCCTCCGGGCGCCTGAGCAGGGCTAGCAGTGCAGGGGTCCATCCTTGGAATGCCTAGGCCCGCTTGGGAAAGACATGCGTGGCTTGGGAAAGAGTAATCCACCTCCGTGCTCCAGGGGAAGCCTTGGGTCCACCATGGGATTTCCTCGGACCGCTTGGGAATGACATGCGTGGCTTGGGAAAGATTAATCCACCTCTGTGCGCCAGGGAGGTCTCGCTTTGCATGGGTCCCCACTGGGAATGCCTAGGGCCGCCTGGGGTGGCTTGGGGAAGACATTTCCTCCTCCGGTCGCTTGGGCAGGGCTTGCATTGCGTGGGTCCACATCGGGAATGCCTGGAGCCGCCTGGGAATGGGACGGACGGCCTGGGAAAGAGTAATCCACCCTCTGGAGGCCTGAGCAGGGCTTGCAGTGCATGGGTCCACACTGAAATTCCCTAGGATCGCTTGGGTATGGCCTGAGTGGCCTGGGAAAGGGTAACCCACCATTCGGGCGCCTGAGCAGGGCCCGCTTTGCATGGGTCCCCACTGGGAAGGCCTAGGGCCGCCGCTTGGGAATGGCCTGCTGGGTGGTCTGGGAAAGGGTATCCCACCCTCCGGGCGCCTGAGCAGGGCTATAAGTGCATGGTCCCACCCAACCAATGTCTAGGACCGCTTGGGAATGATGTGCATGGCTTGGGAAAGGCTAATCCACATACGGGCTCCAGGGAAGGCCTGGGGTCCACCCTGGGAATGCCTTGGGCCGCTTGGGAATGGCCTGAATGGCCTAGGAAAGGCTAACCCACCCTCCGGGCGCCTGAGCAGGGCTAGCAGTGCATGGGTCCCCACTGGAATTGCCTAGGATCGCTTGGGTATGGCCTGAGTGGCCTGGGAAAGGGTAACCCACCATTCGGGCGCCTGAGCAGGGCCCGCTTTGCATGGGTCCCCACTGGGAATGCCTAGGGCCGCCGCTTGGGAATGGCCTGCTGGGTGGTCTGGGAAAGGGTATCCCACCCTCCGGGCGCCTGAGCAGGGCTATAAGTGCCACCCAAGCAATGTCTAGGACCGCTTGGGAATGATGTGCA